ATGCCCCAAGACCACGCATACCACCTACTTGGAGCTAATATTAATCAGACCAGTAGACAGCTGGAGTTATATTTCCTGACCCGCGCAGTCCTGCGGTGACACTTTCTATTGTGGCTGTTACCTGTGCCTCAGTTATAACTTCTCCGCAGACTGAACGGGGTATCCGTGAGGTGCCTTGTTTATATACTCTCCGGACTGAGATTTTGTCAAACGGTGTAAAAGGTTCAGGTAGCAACCCGTAGGGGGAGGGTGAGGTGAATGGTACGACATGTATGCATGCACGGACAGGTCACTAACTGAAATGAGAAGGCCAGTAAGAGAGATGACTAGAGACACTGATGTCTTTATATCTTCAACACTGAACCGCAAGGACTCGGAATTCTAAAGAAGAAGAAGAAGAAGAAGAAGAAAGAGGAGGGGGGGGGATAGAATGAAAATAATTTGAAACGTAGCTGAATACTGAGACATCAATGCTACTAGTAGCAAAGTAATAATTTGATTATCGACTGTTGGTTTTAACAAGTCACCAGCCCCATGCCCCTCTCTGTTTTTGACTATCTGCTGCAAGTTTATCTGCACTCATACTATGAGGCAGGTATGTGGAACAAGGAAGGAATGAGGAAGCGGTTAATGGGGGGGGGGGGGGGGGGGGGGGGGACAAAACGGACAGACGAGTAAAGGAAAGATCGAGGGAGGGGGTAGCTTGACAGACAGAGAGATAAGTAAAGGAAGGAATGAGGGAGGGGTAGATAGACAAGACAGACAGACAGATAAGTAAAGGATACATTGACGCCAGCGACAATCTGGCATATGATGCCAGACACGTTACCTGGTATCAAATGTAGGTTGCGTTGACCTGGGAGCCAAGGTCAGCTATGAAGGGAAAGGGGAATCTGACTTGGGGAGTCGAACCCAAAAGCTTCGTGTTGGCAGGCGGGCATCTAGTCAATATTCAATGTGGAGAGAAAGTGAGAGAGAGAGGGAGAGAGAGAGAAAAAAAAAGAGAGAGAGAGAGAGAGAGAGAGAGAGAGAGAGAGAGAGAGTTTGATGGAAAAAAAAAATGTTAAAAATGTTTTTAAAAATTACCCTGACAACCACTGAAGGTCCTGAAATTAACCTTGCAACTGGGTTAGGTCACGACCTACTTGCATATTAACCAGGCCTTGGCGAAATTCAGGATCGGTTGTTCAAATCATTTCCAGGAAAAGCCTCAAAATATGTCGGCTTACGTAAACAAGGGCTAACAAAATATCTACAAACTAACGACGTTTGACACTGTATCGCGAATATAACAGAAAAAGTAACAAAAAAGCGAGACACTAGCGAGGGCGACAGCGAGATATGAGATCCGAGAGAAATGGACGGACATTTTCTTGTTCTATCTCACACATATCGAACATTTGGACTTTGGACTGATGCGAAACTTACCTTCACCGGATGAACTGTCTGTCATGTCTCCGAGAATTCAACTTGGAGTGTCGTAACAAATTGTATTGTCCTAGAAAGCTGGTGAAAATACAGGGAAATCTACGCTTAGAGAAACACATTCATCAACAGGCATTAAGCACTTGTTGTGTCACGTGATCTGTCATGTGACAGGTTCGGTCCATCCTGGTGTTTACAATGAGAAATGTTTTTAACTCTCTGTGGGTTTCCTTGTCTAAGCCTAAGTAAACCGTTTCCCTCCTGCTCTACTTCTCTAGCCCTGTTTCGCTTTTTAGCGTCAGGATTTGAAGATGCATCTGGTGCAAGACTTCGTGTGTGCTACGTAGATGTTGGTGTTTACAGGCCTTGCTTATTTTATCAATCTAACACTTGCATGGTCGCTTTGTTGATCTGCTTCCGTTGTTTCTAAATGACACGCTCTTTGTTGTTTCTTTTCTAAAACTCAGTCGTCCAGCTATCACATTAATTCATCATATTACAATCTTTGCTTTAATCCATTTTGTTAAATCGTGTTTGTCGTTTTAACCCTTTCAGAAGCACACGTTATATTTTACGCAATAAATAATTAAGTAAGAACGAATTACAGTGACACTTACTGGTACTGTAAGGGTTGAGCTAAGAATGTATTGCATCACATTCGTTATAATGCGTAGATGTTTGTTGTCTAAACCAGTATCACGTAGGCAAACATCTTCAACAGTTGAGGTTTCTTTACTGGATACCTCCTCGCTTCGGCAAACTCTCTTTTGAGGCCTACGAGTTATGAGCGTCTGCAAAATCGTCACCAGCAGAAAACTGTTGGTGGCATCTGCCTGGTGTATCTGTTACCGGTGCCCTAAGTATACCTTTTTTGGAGATTGAACGGGATCTCTTGGATTTTCTCTCTTGGTCTGCCGTCCATATTGGGATTTTAAAATCTCAGAATGGTCTGGTAAGCTTTAAAGTAGCTACCCGGAAGGGATACACTGTTCAATCGATCGATCTACCTGTCCACTCACACTGGGGAAGAAGATGGGGGGGGGGGGGGGGACGCCTTGTAATAGCCTTTGTTCTTGCACGAACTTCTGCAAAGCAGTGGTGGTCTGGTATTCAGTATCTTTCACGTAGATACATAAACTTCCAGGGTTTATGAGCTTTATTAAACCTGACATATTTTCACCCAGTCGTTTCGGCAAGTCGAGCTATGAGTGAGCTAGGTAAAAAGATGAGACCCGAGGAATTCAGACCATCCTAGAGGAGGTGGCTCTCTCTCTCTCTCTCTCTCTCTCTCTCTCTCTCTCTCTCTCTCTCTCTCTCTCTCTCTCTCTAATTTATTTCTTCGGTGATCATGTTCTGCATTTCAGCGTCAGATTTTGAAGACGTATACAATGCGCACCTTGGTACGAGCTATGTGCTATTTGTGCGCACCTTGGTACGAGCTATGTGCTATATAATGCGCACCTTAGTACGAGCTATGTGCTATTTGGACGCACCTTGGTACGAGCTATGTGCTATGTAATGCGCACCTTAGTAGGAGCTATGTGCTATATAGTGCGCACCTTGGTATGAGCTATGTGCTATATAGTGCGCACCTTAGTGTGAGCTATGTGCTATATAGTGCGCACCTTGGTGCGAGCTATGTGCTATATAGTGCGCACCTTGGTATGAGCTGTGTGCTATATAGTGCGCACCTTGGTACTAGCCATATGCTATATAGTGCGCACCTTGGTACGAGCTATGTGTTATTTGTGCGCACCTTGGTACGAGCAGTGTGCTATATGGTGCGAGCTATGTGCTATATGGTGCGAGCTATGGGCTATATGGTGCGCACCTTGGTACGAGATATGTGCTTTTTGTGCACACCTTGGTACGAGCCATGTGCTATGTATATGCTAGTATTTACAGCCTCGGATACTCCATATATCCATCGTTTGTATGATTGCCCTCTAGACCTGCTTCCATTGTGTCTAAATGACAGCTCTCTCCGTCGTATACTATCTGGTGTTTGTCTTGAGACATGACCAAACCATTTGAGCTGTTGTCTCTTGATGTAGTTGAGTACTGGTTCCGTCCCAACGTCTTTCTATCCGACACTCCAAATTAAGATATAAAATACAGTTTTGCACGCTGACATACATACACACACGCACACACACACACACATACGCACATAGACACATACACCCACACACACATACATACACATACATACATACATACACACACACACACACACACACACACACACACACACACACACCACACACACACACACACACACACACACACACACACACACACACACACACACACACACACACACACACACACACACACACACACACACACACACACACACACACACACACACACACACACACACACACACACACACACACACACACACACACACACACACACACACACACACACACACACACACACACACACACACACACACACACACACACACACACACACACACACACACACACACACACACACACACACACACACACACACACACACACACACACACACACACACACACACACACACACACACACACACACACACACACACACACACACACACACACACACACACACACACACACACACACACACACACACACACACACACACACACACACACACACACACAGACAGACACACACACAGACAGACAGACAGACAGACAGACAGACACACACACAGACAGACAGACAGACAGACAGACAGACAGACAGACAGACAGACAGACAGACAGACAGACAGACAGACAGACAGACAGACAGACAGACAGACAGACAGACAGACAGACAGACAGACAGACAGACAGACAGACAGACAGACAGACAGACAGACATACATACATACATACATACATACATACCTGTATAAGGTGGAACATTAACTATATATGTATTGATGTAGATTTATGTGAAAAAATGCACGGAACGTGTTGGGTGGAGGGGTAATCAGACGATTCCTCATAATAAAAGAGAGAATGATTGCAGAAAGGTCAGAAGTTGAGCATCTGGGGAAGAAACATACTTAATTCAAATGATCACAACAACGGTCCTGAAATCCCGTTGTTGTGAATATGGAAGACTGTTCTTGGCGCGGGCGGGTCTTGCTAGTCACACTCACTATCGTCATGGGCTTTGATTCCCATGAGACAGTATAACAACTCTACCGTTTGGAAAGAATGACGGTGACAACAAACATAAAGTCAAACGATGTACGCAAACATTTGATGTCGTGTTCGTCATGAACTGAAGAAGAAAATCAAAGACATGATTCTGACATTGCGGTCGCCCTGTTAAAACAGGCAGTTGCTTTTGTGTTGTTGAATTTTTACTTCAGTTATAGCGGATTATATTATTTGTTTTATTTATTGAATTGCTACTGTAGTATGCACCCGACGAGATACAGCAAAACACTCTAGACAATAAATTGCTCAAACTCAATTTATTGTTTGTGTATAAAGAATACCTAATAATTTACTTTGTTCCGTATCTTTTAAAATATTTCCATATTTTTGAGTGCACATTACATGGTGGATGTAACAAGATGGCGGACCACAACGACAGACGACGTTCTGTGATGTCCAGTAAACCCAGGTTCGTTGATTTAATTTTACCCTTCATGGAGTTTGTAGGACTGTACAATTCTATTTTATTTATTAAATACTTTCATTGTACTTTTGAACTGTATATCGTATACAAATAATTTCTTTTCCGTATGAATTCAAAATCAAAAAGTTGAGAGAATTGTTTACGAAAGTTGACTGACCTGTTGAGACAAATTATTAGTATTTTATGGGGGGAGGGAAGGGGTTAATTTCCTGTCCTTTATATTGTCGTTGCAGAATGACCCTACCCCTCCCCCCCTCCCCCGGCATTTTATTGTTGTTAATGCATTGATTTCACTAGGCAATTTTAGGCTATCGTCCGAATAACGGGCACAAAAGATGGCGGCCAAAAAATAGGGCCTCAGTCCGTGTCAATTGCGCACTTTCACTTTCGGCGACTTAGTTTGCGGTTTTCCGGCGACTACCGCTACTGCAGGGAGTATCCCCTACACGGTGTGGATTAGGGGCTAAACTAGATGGATAGGACTCACACGCAAAGTGCGGCAAAGCTGCAGGAGATGGGGAAGCTGTTGCTCGTGAGTCCTAGCCATCTAGTTTAGCCCCAATCCACGCCGCATGGGGGATACTCCTGGCGGTGGGGGTAGTCGCCGGAAAACTACAAATTAAGTCGCTAGAAGTGCCCAGTTGACACATGACTGAGGCTCTGTTAAAGGGGGTGTTTTGTGGCCGCCATCTTTTGTGCCCGTTATTCAGAGGATAGCCTAATTTTACGTTAACTAGTTTGCCATTACTTTACTGAGCAGTCAGCTCTTGATACTGCTGTGCAAACCAATGCTAGGTAGTCTGCTGCAAAATCGCTTGCAGTTGGGATTGAACCTGGCCTCTTGAAATTACAAAGCATGTTCTTACCTAAGCCTCCACTACAGACCACAAATTATTACATACAGTTAAACCTTGAAAATATATCGCTTAGGAAGAACATTTGGCGCATTCGATAGGAGACTTGCTTTCAAATCCAGCTGCGACTCACTGCAGCCCATAGTTGGTATTTGAAACAGGATGATTCCAGGGGTAAATGGAGGAACATCGCTGTAGCTACGAAGTTTTTTGCAGACAGCGACACAGGCGGAAAGTTTCTTATCAGCTGTCCGTACAGGTGGCAGAGCACTTAAGGCTAAAAACTATGTGCAATGATACTGGTTCAAATCTCCCGACTTTACCTTTTTTTTCTTTTTACTCGATTAACATGAAAAAGTTTGTTCCAAGCAGGTTTAGGTTTTTAATTTGAGTCTTCGACTACAACAAGTGTTTTTAACATGATCTCTTGATTTGGCGGTCGCTTTAAATTCATGTTACTGTAATGCATTGCCTGACGTATTTCACTGTAATATACTAATAATTACTGTATCGTAGATTGAGTTGCCAGTTGGTAATATTAAATCTAGTGGTAAGTTATTCAAGTTTCTACTTTAATTATATGAGAAGAAATTTTTTTTTCTGCGAATTAAACATTTAAAATTAGGAAACAAACTGTCAAAGTTCTGTGTTGTCTAATGGAAGAATTTTGTTTTCGACTCCACCCAGTTTTGTCATGTATGTATCTTCATTTATATACCAGCAGCCCACATCACCGCACACCAGTGGCTCTCAACCTTCCTAAGGCCGTGACCCTTTAATACAGTTCCTCATGTTTTGGCAACCCCCAACCATAATATTATTTCTTTGCTACTTCATAACTTCAGTGAATTTATGTTTTCCGATGGTCTTAGGCCACCCATGTGAAATGGTGATTCGACCCACAAAAGGGCCATGACCGCAGGTTGAGAACCGCTGCCGTACGTGTCCTTTAGGCACTGAAAGTCTTAGCTTATGGTCTTTCAGCATGGATATTGAATTTTACCTAATCTCTTAAATAAAATTTCTAATATTAAAAAGTTTACAAAATTTTGTTGATAGAGGTGATACTGAAATTCAGTTGTGCCTCATTCACTTATTAGAGATGTTAATTATTGCATGGATTGTCCCTTTATCTTCATTTATAGGGATAGAAACGAATATGGACTTGCCAAAAAGCCAGTATTTGTTCACACCTATTTGTGTTGTAATATAAATGTATATATAATTTTTAGAGATGAATCCGGCAGCCGAAGGCATGAAAAGAAGAAACACAAAAAACATAAACACAAGAGCAAACGTAAGCATGAAAATGGTGAACGTTCCCACAAACACAAAAAGTCAAAACACAGTTCGCAGTCAGACATGGAGGCTGAGACAGTGGGCGGTTCCAAACGGCCCAGGTTTGACCATGATGATGTAGAGTTGCAGAGACTAGAGGCAGCTCGACAAGCTCTCAGAGCAGAACTGAGAAGTCGAGATGGAGACGATGCTTTAAGGGCAATTAACCTTGTCTATAGGGTGAGATTTGTGTGTGTTTGTTGTCTTCTCCTGTTTCTTCTCCTGTTTCTTCTTCTGTTTCTTCTCCTGTTTCTTCTTCTGTTTCTTCTTCTGTTTCATCTTCTGTTTCTTCTCCTGTTTCTTCTCCTGTTTCTTCTTCTTCAGTTGATCTTCCATAGTTCATGCTATGTGACACAGATTATTTCCTTAGACCATACCATGTGACATTGATAGTCAGTCTATCCCCAACCTTCTGTCTCATCTAATTTCAGTGAGTTCTGACACAGATGAACTTCCATGACATGATGTTGTCTTCTCTCTGTCTACCTGTGCTTGTTCCCCCCACTGTCACAGTGCACTCCAGTTTTCTTCTTGTCATGGTGTGACCAGTGAATGTGGATTGTCTACCCTTGAGACAATAGGCAGTATGTTCTCCCCGTGAGTCATTTTCTTTCAGGACAGACATCTTCATTACTCTTTTTATCTGTACAGGGTATTTTATTCTCATCATTCGTCTTTAAAATCACATCTTCACTGCTTCCAAATAATTTTCCACCAATCGTCCAACTGTCCATGATTTACTTCCCAGTATTATGATAAGATTTATATTGCTTTAAGAATTCTCTTTCTCATCTCAGTTGACAAAGAAAGATTACATAGCATATTCTTCATTTTGTGGCAAATAAAAATTTAAAATAAAAAATGGAGTTGGTATAATTTTGAATCATTGTCAACTTCCACTTTGCTGCATTCTAACACTAGGATGCTCAGATGATTCATTCTCTTGTTTTCGGTGTATAATTGAACTAAAATCTATGCCAGAGCTATTTGACAGATGACCCTCAAAAGCCTAACAAGAAGTCCACGGATCATTGCCAGTTGTGCTGTATTAATGATCTGTCTATGCTGGATCCCGTGATGATCTCCATTTTTGAAAATTTCGAACCCCTGAGTTACTTAGTTGAATAGTCATGTGATTGTATCATTTCATTGTTGTCTTGGATGGTTATATTGGCTACTTACGGTAGTTGAATGGCCATGTGATTGTAGTTGAATGGCCATGTGATTGTATAATTTTAGTTAATTAGTATCATCTTGGATGGTTAAATTGGCTACTTACGGTAGTTGAATGGCCATGTGATTGTAGTTGAATGGCCATGTGATTGTATAATTTCAGTGCCGTCTTGGATGGTTAAATTGGCTGCTTATGATTAAGTAATTTTGGGCAATCAATCTCAGATAGAGTCCTGTTATCGAAACTCCATGACAAATCTAGATATCAATATAATACAAATATCTCAACTATGCCAAACTCAACCAAGTGCTTAATCATTGTTTTGATTTGATTTGATTTGATTCAAGAACCGACATCACAGCACTCGGGGCATTCCCATAAGCACTCCGTCCCCGTCTTCAGCAGCCAGCGAAGAGTTCCGATACTAATGATGCCAGTAGCTTTCTGATGAAAATTGTATAAAAAAATACAGATCTCTCAGAAAAATTAAATACAAATTGTGTAAACACAAGAGTATTGATTTATTTATACCTTTTTGGAGTAGAAATTTACATGTGTGCCTTTTGAGATTGTGAAACAGGTGAAAATCGTAAAAATTGCACCCAGGTCACTTTGACACAGATCAGCAATATGAACTAACAGACAGTGCCAAAGAATGGCAAACTACTGGGTTTTTGTGTGGTTATTTTTAAAAAAATATCCTTGTAGAATATGGTTGTTGACAAATTATATCAGTTTAATTATGTTACTATGGATTCCGTTTATTTAATTTAAGAGTGAGATAAGTGCTTGTGAAAAGAATTGCAACATGAAAGGTTAATCTACAATGTGTCCAGCAGACTGGTGTAACATTCAATCTTCTGTCTAAACAATTTTGAAAGCTAAAAAGTGTGTGTCTCATACTTACATGAGCTATTAGCTGTTTTGTTCTTTGAATTGTATCTATCTTGTAACTGCTTGAGTTTAAAACAATGTTTGTTGAGTAAAGAAAACATGGTTCAAGCTTACTTGGATAGTCAGTGTACCTGTGAAAGCCAGCTTGTGTTTTGTCTCTCCAGGGTTATGGTACAGACTCAGAAGAAGAGGGCGAGGTTGAACATGAAAGTCTGAAAGAAGATCTTCGCAAAGCCAGAGAGGTGCTAGCACGTATGGACTCCCAGAGGAGCAGCCAGAGTCAGCCAAGCGAACGAAACCCGTTGTTGCAGCCGGAACTATTAGACGGCAGTAATCACACGTCACACAGTCAGTTTATTTTATATGAAGACTTCACAATATCCAAGTCTAGAGAGGATATCGATGCACTAGAGGAACGAGACAGAAGCAGAAGACAGATAGAAGCCAGTCAACAAGAGGATAGAAGCAGAAGACACATAGAAGCCAGTCAACAAGAGGACAGAAATAGAAGACACATAGAAGCCAGTCAACAAGAGGACAGAAATAGAAGACACATAGAAGCCAGTCAACAAGAGGACAGAAATAGAAGACACACAGAAGCCAGTCAACAAGAGGACAGAAATAGAAGACACACAGAAGCCAGTCAACAAGAGGACAGAAATAGAAGACACATAGAAACCAGTCGTCAACAAGAGGACAGAAATAAAAGACACATAGAAGCCAGTGGTCAACAAGAGGACAGAAATAAAAGACACATAGGAGCCAGTCGTCAACAAGAGGACAGAAATAAAAGACACATAGAAGCCAGTGGTCAACAAGAGGACAGGAGCAGCTCTGTGTGGCCAGTGCCATCTGATGGTGAGACTTTAGATTTGCTAGATGAAGGTTTGAAGCTTCTGGACAGTGTCGGTGTGGCTTCATCGGCGACCACTTCCACAAATAAACTGACCCCATCCTTGGCTGCTCGCTTGGGGCCAGAAGTTCGCTCTGTACGGGCAAAAGTGCAGAGTCTCATCCGTTCGACCAGGTCCAAATCATCAGAGGCTGAATCTCATCAGCAAGACCAGCCTCCACGAGAAAATGTTCGTAGGGACCGAGGGGGCAAGGAAAACAGAGTAGTCGAGATCTTTGATAGTGATCAGGAGGAGGACGAGGCACATGGGAACGATACAAATTTGGAGGTTATAAACATTGATGATGATGATGATGTAGTAGAGGTGAGGAATCAGAGAGGACAGAAACTTGGCAGTACAGATGAGCAAGATGTTTCCATTGTGGAAGAAAAGTCACACCTGCCTGGCATGAAGTCAGACAGGAGAATTCACAGGAGCCCAATGAGGTATTTCTTTCTTATGTTTGTTGTTTCAGAAGGTGACATTTTGTATGTATTGTGCACTGATCTAGAGATAGTTATCAAATAGTGGATGTAGTCTGGAGATTTCAGTCACGGGCATAAGGACAACTTAAGGCCAGTGTGATATGTAAAACGAGATACTCTCTACCCCACATTGGTCACCAGCAGGCTCTCTGCTGGTTTTATGGATCAGGAAGAGAACTCTGGAACGGGCCCTTCTTTTCACTTGGTAAAAAGTACTTTTCTCTGATTTTTCTGCGGTCCATGTTCTGCGTGGTCGGCCTCTGGATATGTTACCGCTGTATCTGTTTAACATTGCTGTCTGTGGTGCCCTGTCTGATACCTTGTTACATGGCCAAACTATTTGATTTGTTGTCTACCTGTAGAGTTCATTATTGTACCAAGTCTGCTCTTAATATCATCGTTCCTAAGTCGATCTTTCCTCGTTACACCTAGAATAGTACGTAAACATTTTCTTGCTGTCTTCTGAAAACAGTGTCCTGTTTGACATTGATAGCACAGCGTTGGTGAGAATATTGTGTTCAACAGTGTTTGTTTAGTGTTCATATTCACATGCTTGCATTGAAAAATTGTTGCCTTTTGGCCTAAAACTTCACTGGTTTATTGCATCTTTGCTGGATTTCTTTTTGAATTCATCCATCTTATGAAAAAAAATGCTTCCAAGTTATGTAAACTCCTTGTCTTGATTTAACTGGTGTTCATCTGTGATGATATTGGTGGTTCTTTATTTTCCTGAGGAAATGATATTGTACATGGAAAACTTATCTGGGACATGAGTGAAGTCCGCTGCCAGGATTCCTGGCTAAACCACAAACTCAGGGGTTGAAATGTCTGTGATCTAAAAGTCCTAGTGTATGATGACAAACCTTCATTCAAATCGATACTCCTACTGTATGGCTGCTTGGGTTGAAGTGTCCTTCCATTAAGTGTCCTGCTGTATGACAGGCAAAGGTTGAGATGTCCCTAGTTCAAAGATCCCACTTAATGACACAGAAGGTTCAACTGTCCACTACCAGTTGGGTTTAGTGTTGTTAGCACCACCCCCTCTCTCCAGAGGATAGTATTCCATGGAGCCATGGGAATGGCAACACCTGGCAGTACATTTTCATAGTATAAAGCCTGGCTAGTAATCTAGAAACCATGTGTTGCCATTGCCACATAATCCCTTTCTGGGCCTGCCGTGGTAACTCCAAAGGAAAGGAAACATCTGTATATTTAGAGCAAAGCATACTACAGAAGCTGCTCTATCAGAAGAGCAGTTCACTATCTGCTTGTCCCTCTTAGACCAGCTGCCAGCCATGGCAAAGGGCCTGATCCGCCCTACCATAACGTTAGGTTTTGAGGTTGCATATTCTTGTCTTAGAGAGTAGTATAATAAATTATGAAAAACTTTATGAAACTTGCGGGGTTTTTTTTCTTTCTTCTCAGGAGTAAGAAAGCTGAGTCTGTAGAGAAGATGAGTTCCAGGGTGTCGGGACCAAACAAAGAATCATCCAGATCAAGGAGAGATGAAACAAAGAAAGCGGACGAAAGTAGAAGGAAGCGAGAAGAGAGTGGTAGAAGAGATGACAAACGAAGAGGATTTGATGAAGGGCGAAGAGTACCTGAAGAAGGTCGTAGGGGACCTGAAGAAGGTCGTAGGCTACATGATGAAGGTCGCAGGGGACCTGAAGAAGGTCGCAGGGGACCCGAGGAAGGTCGCAGGGGACCTGAAGAAGGTCGCAGGGGACCCGAGGAAGGTCGTAGAATACAAGATGAAGGCCACAGGGGGCCTGAAGAAAACCGCCGAAGGGTTGATGATGGCCGCAGAGCAGGTGAAGATCTCCGTAGAGGATTGGAAGATGAACGAAGAGTACCGGATGATGGCCGGCGAATGGTAGACGATGTTCGCAGAAATAATAATATGAGAGATCGAATGGATGATGTGAGAATGGGGCCTGACAGACAGGAGAGAAGACGGGATGATGGTCGGCCCGCCGATAGAGGAGCTAGGAGAAGGACCCCAAGTCCGTTTATGGGAAGACGGTGAGTATGTAATGTTTGCCACTGTCGTCATTGGTCCAAAAATGGTTGAGTTGATTGTTGTTGGCAGCCCTCTGTAATTCTGATGAAAGTACTGTTTGAAGAAGTGATGCATTTGTACCTGCAGGGGAGGGTTGTATTAGCTTTTCCTTTATGTTATGTAGTCTCCCTGGTGGAGTGGTTGAGCAGTTAGCCCAAATGTGTTAAGATCTTGGGTTTATTACTCACTTTGTGGGTTCTGGAGCCCCATTTCAGGGTAAAAAGGAAAGACCCACTGCTTACGAGCATATTGAAAAAGACTGCTAATTCACAATTTTCTGCATTTGGATGTTCTGGTTTTGAAGAGGCATTGGATGCAAGCCTTGGTATGTGCTCCGTAAATGTTGTTATTTGCTATTTTGGATATTCCAACTATCTATTGCTTGCATGTTTGACCTCCAGATGCATCCTTTCTTTGTGACAGGGTTCTCTGTGGGGTACGACCTGGCGGTAGTCTTGAGACTTACCTGAACTGTTTGATCTGAAGAGGATTCTCTCACTGTTATTCACAGTGTTTAAAAAAAAAAATTAAACACAGGAAATTTCAGAAAGTAATTGATGGTTTAATAAGGCTGGGAATGGTATCTGTTAAAAGGGTACCTATATGGTTAAGATTGCCTTTGATTCTGACAAGTCTTTTTAGAAACTGAAAAATTAAGTATTTTCTTTAATTTTAGGGCACCGATGCCTTAATGATTTTTGGTTGAGGCATTTCATTAAAAAGATATCAACTTGTTGTTCCTATTACCTGTCTATTCAGCCATCTCTTTTTTGTTTCAGAGCCTTTTAGCCTGTTTTCATACTGCAAGATCTGTCGCTTTGTTGCTTTTAGCTCCATTTTAAGAAAATCGACATGTCTTCTCCTTTCCCTTATGATCGTTGTGACCAGGAATCCACTGCAGTTTAATAACTCATGGATCAGAACACTATCAGGTTGTGGATTGCTTTTGTTACTAACATTTTTGTATAGGGAGGTGTTTTTTGTGTGTTTCTAGGACAGACATCTGTAAGGCACACAAAGTATTTACAAAGAAAAAGGAATGAAAGGAAAGTGTTTGTGCTGATCAGTGCATTTGTTGTGTGCAAATTTTAAATTTGATCTGTGCTTACAGACTTGTATCTCTGTGTTTATACGACTTATTCTGTTGAATCCGTACTATTGTGTACATTTTTCTTTTAAAGATACCGAGAAGGAGCAGACAGGGGTCGAGACAGAAATGATCGCAGAGGAAAGTCTTCAGAAAGGGATGCTGATAGGTCAAAAGAATCAGAGGATAAATTTAAGGACAGCTTGTCCGAAGGTTTGGCTTTACAGCGCCAGGAGTCTGAGGAGGAAGAGGAAGAGTAAGTCCAGAGCTAAATAATTATTATTTAAAAAAAAAATATGTATATACTGGCTAAATTACCACATTTTTTGGGTGATTTAAGGGGAGGGGGAGGCTTTTGTCTCGTTGCTGCTGGATTGTCTCCTCTTGGCAGTAGTGCCTTATAAATATGGGAGCTGCGTTCATGCATTGGCTAACACGTTCGTCTTCTAACTCAGTGTTTCTCGGTTCAACTACCCCTCAAGACTATCGCCCCGGGAACACTGAAAAACAATAGTCATAGCCCCGTTAGAATTCCAGAATTTAACAAATTCATTTTAAAAAAAAAAACAGTTTTACCTTGGTCACTAATACATTCAAAAATCTATTTATCTACACACTATTTTTTCCCCCCAAGAGATACATGAAGGGAGTAATCAATAAACACAAACATGGCGAATCACTGAATGGAGCACATCTCCTTTGGCCTAAACAATATGTACTGTGTGACTCATGCTTTGATCTCTGTCACCGTTATTTTAGGAAAATTTTAAATTAACTTGATCTTAAAAAACTATTTTGTTCAAAGAATCCCCCACCCCCCCGATATTAATTGCTATTTTGTTGTTAATATAGAAATCTCGTGACACTCCTCCTCCCACCCACCACAGAGCTCTGATTGCGAAGGCACAGAAACGGTCAGTAGCATTAACTGGGGAAAAGGGACATTTATGGAGAATTGGACCCTTTTCAAAGCAACAGATTGAAAGTTTTTTGTGGGCTATATGGCTTTTGCATTGATGTGTTATCCTCAAGGTTGGCTGGAGCCAAGAATTGTTACATGGTAACCTACTCATGTAGTTGGAGGCCAGCAAGGAGGGTTATGTTTACAGGACCTGACTCTAACAGGAAACATAATTATAGTGCTCCACCTTTTGTCTGTTGATTCTTCTCTGCCATTTGGTTGCTGTGTGTTTCATGGTTCCTCTGTCTGTGTATTTTGTGGGTTTTGTCTGCCTCTCAGTTCATCAGTATCTTTTTAGTTTCTGCCTGTTGTTCTGTCCTTTTGGCTTGCGTGGTGAAGTTGTCAAGCCATTTACCTCGCGGTGTGAGGGTTGTGGGCTCATTTCATGGCAGTGTCATTCATTTCACGAGTGCAATTTGTATGGAGATCTCTGAATCATCACTAGAGCTACAGAGGTCGTGTGATGTGTGCAACGCTCTCTGCAGACGGCTAGCCGTCCTGCGGAGAGAGGCCATGTAGGATAAAACCCGGTGCAATGAAGTCGATCTTCTCACTTTACCTTTCTTATTGTGCCCTGCTGAAACGTTGTTCTTGGATTTTTCTGGATTCCTTCTTTGCTGTTGGTCTCTTTATTTGGTTTTTTTTTTCAGCTTTAGTTTTTTGTAACTAGCTTGGTTACCATTCATCTGTTGTTTCCTGTCTGAATCCTGTCTCTTGTGGTTTGAACTCCTAGTTCCTGAGTATATTAACTATAAAATATGGATGTAGTTACCATTTAACTGTTGTTTCCTGTCTGAATCCTGTCTCTTGTGGTTTGAACTCCTAGTTCCTGAGTATATTAACTATAAAATATGGATGTAGTTAGCATTCAACTGTTGTTTCCTGTCTGAATCCTGTCTCTTGTGGTTTGAACTCCTAGTTCCTGAGTATATTAACTATAAAATATGGATATAGTTAGCATTCAGCCAAACAGAGGTTGCCAACAGCTGTACCGAATTTTCTATTGTGAATCTCGTTAAATAACTGTTGAGTGAGATACCCTCCGCAGAGAGACAAGTTGGCTGCTTAAACTGTAAATGCTTCCTCTCCCACAGCCTGGACATTGATCTTGATGATGATGAAGAAGATGCTGATGCGATCATTGCCAAGAGGAGGCAAGAAAGACAGAGGTTGTTAGAGGTAAGTTGAGACCACCACATAGCAGGTCAAATATTTCAGAGCAGCGTTGGTGGCGACCTTTAACAGTGTTTCAGCTCACCTAGGCCGCACCTGTTCACATGCTAGTGTTACCTGTGGTTATTTTCTGGTTTAGGGTGTATGAACATAGTTTTCACAATCTTGGCATACCCACTTTGAAGTCAGCTGTCTCTATATGGGCTGTAGTGTCCCAGTTTTTTCAGTAGGGGGAGGGAGAGAATAGACAGCTGCCTCCCTGACAAAACAAGACTTTCTTCTCCTAGTGGTTGTGTCCAGTACACAGAAGGGGCTGGGGGTTTCAGCATGAGGCTGTGTTTTGATATGTTTTTTTCTTTTGATGTGTAGTTATATTTGTAAACACTTGTGGTGATCTAATGATAAGCATATTTTTACTCTCTGTCTCTCTGTCTGTCCTTTCTCTCCCGAATGTTGATTTTGATAATGTTGTGAGCGTTGTAGAGAAGGTTCAGTGATTATATTCAGTGTATTGTTATTTGTATTTGTTACATTGTCTATTCATGTCATGTGCTACTGAAGATTCTCTAACCGCAATGATCACTTGTTGTTTGTGAATGTGAAGCTGGCTAGTTCTGCTTCACATTTGCTTTGATATCTTTTCTTGATAATTTCAACTTTAGTACATCGTAATATATCTATATATTTCATACATTTTTGATTATTTCAGAACTTGAAAAAAGGCAACATGAATGATAATTTAAATTCAACTGATCCGGCACCCATTATGGAAGGACAAACCATTCCAGAGCAAGAAGAGGCAATGATAATCTCAGTGGATGATGATGAAAACAATAGAGAAGACCCAACAAGAACAAATCAGGAATTGTATTCATATGCGGATGGATACAATGATGAGAACAGTATGAGGTAAATGTTTTTATCTCACTGTCACTTCTTGCATTTTCTGATATTTGGTCTTTGTGTTTTTACTCTTCACCCTCTGGACATGGAATCTGGAGTTTTAGTGTCTAGGAGATAGAGCTCTGCAGAGTGCATTCCCTTTGTTTCGAGTTTTAGTGTCTAGGAGATGGAGCTCTACAGAGTGCATTCCCTTTGTTTGGAGTTTTAGTGTCTAGGAGATGGAGCTCTGCAGAGTGCATTCCCTTTATTTGGAGTTTTAGTGTCTAGGAGATGGAGCTCTGCAGAGTGCATTCCCTTTATTTGGAGTTTTAGTGTCTAGGAGATGGAGCTCTGCAGAGTGCATTCCCTTTGTTTCGAGTTTTAGTGTCTAGGAGATGGAGCTCTGCAGAGTGCATTCCCTTTATTTGGAGTTTTAGTGTTTAGAAGATGGAGCTCTGCAGAGTGCATTCCCTTTATTTGGAGTTTTAGTGTCAAGAAGATGGAGCTCTGCAGAGTGCATTCCCTTTATTTGGAGTTTTAGTGTCAAGAAGATGGAGCTCTGCAGAGTGCATTCCCTTTATTTGGAGTTTTAGTGTCAAGAAGATGTAGCTCTGCAGAGTGCATTCCCTTTATTTGGAGTTTTAGTGTCTAGAAGATGGAGCTCTGCAGAGTGCATTCCCTTTATTTGGAGTTTTAGTGTCAAGAAGATGTAGCTCTGCAGAGTGCATTCCCTTTATTTGGAGTTTTAGTGTCAAGAAGATGGAGCTCTGCAGAGTGCATTCCCTTTATTTGGAGTTTTAGTGTCTAGGAGATGGAGCTCTGCAGAGTGCATTCCCTTTATTTGGAGTTTTAGTGTCTCGGAGATAGAGCTCTGCAGAGTGCATTCCCTTTGTTTGGAGTTTTAGTGTCAAGAAGATGTAGCTCTGCAGAGTGCATTCCCTTTATTTGGAGTTTTAGTGTCAAGAAGATGTAGCTCTGCAGAGTGCATTCCCTTTATTTGGAGTTTTAGTGTCAAGGAGATGTAGCTCTGCAGAGTGCATTCCCTTTATTTGGAGTTTTAGTGTCAAGAAGATGGAGCTCTGCAGAGTGCATTCCCTTTGTTTGGAGTTTTAGTGTCTAGAAGATGGAGCTCTGCAGAGTGCATTCCCTTTATTTGGAGTTTTAGTGTCAAGAAGATGTAGCTCTGCAGAGTGCATTCCCTTTATTTGGAGTTTTAGTGTCAAGAAGATGGAGCTCTGCAGAGTGCATTCCCTTTATTTGGAGTTTTAGTGTCAAGAAGATGGAGCTCTGCAGAGTGCATTCCCTTTATTTCAAGTTTTAGTGTCTAGGAGATGGAGCTCTGCAGAGTGCATTCCCTTTGTTTGGAGTTTTAGTGTCTAGGAGATGGAGCTCTGCAGAGTGCATTCCCTTTGTTTGGAGTTTTAGTGTCTAGAAGATGTAGCTCTGCAGAGTGCATTCCCTTTGTTTGGAGTTTTAGTGTCTAGGAGATGGAGCTCTGCAGAGTGCATTCCCTTTGTTTGGAGTTTTAGTGTCTAGGAGATGGAGCTCTGCAGAGTGCATTCCCTTTGTTTGGAGTTTTAGTGTCTAGGAGATAGAGCTCTGCAGAGTGCATTCCCTTTGTTTGGAGTTTTAGTGTCTAGGAGATGGAGCTCTGCAGAGTGCATTCCCTTTGTTTGGAGTTTTAGTGTCTAGGAGATGGAGCTCTGCAGAGTGCATTCCCTTTGTTTGGAGTTTTAGTGTCTAGGAGATGGAGCTCTGCAGAGTGCATTCCCTTTATTTGGAGTTTTAGTGTCTAGGAGATGGAGCTCTGCAGAGTGCATTCCCTTTATTTGGAGTTTTAGTGTCTAGGAGATGGAGCTCTGCAGAGTGCATTCCCTTTGTTTGGAGTTTTAGTGTCTAGGAGATGGAGCTCTGCAGAGTGCATTCCCTTTGTTTGGAGTTTTAGTGTCTAGGAGATGGAGCTCTGCAGAGTGCATTCCCTTTGTTTGGAGTTTTAGTGTCTAGGAGATGGAGCTCTGCAGAGTGCATTCCCTTTGTTTGGAGTTTTAGTGTCTAGGAGATGGAGCTCTGCAGAGTGCATTCCCTTTATTTGGAGTTTTAGTGTCTAGGAGATGGAGCTCTGCAGAGTGCATTCCCTTTATTTGGAGTTTTAGTGTCTAGGAGATGGAGCTCTGCAGAGTGCATTCCCTTTGTTTGGAGTTTTAGTGTCTAGGAGATGGAGCTCTGCAGAGTGCATTCCCTTTGTTTGGAGTTTTAGTGTCTAGGAGATGGAGCTCTGCAGAGTGCATTCCCTTTGTTTGGAGTTTTAGTGTCTAGGAGATGGAGCTCTGCAGAGTGCATTCTTTTTATTTGGAGTTTTAGTGTCTAGGAGATGGAGCTCTGCAGAGTGCATTCCCTTTGTTTGGAGTTTTAGTGTCTAGGAGATGGAGCTCTGCAGAGTGCATTCCCTTTGTTTGGAGTTTTAGTGTCTAGGAGATGGAGCTCTGCAGAGTGCATTCCCTTTATTTGGAGTTTTAGTGTCTAGGAGATGGAGCTCTGCAGAGTGCATTCCCTTTGTTTGGAGTTTTAGTGTCTAGGAGATGGAGCTCTGCAGAGTGCATTCCCTTTGTTTGGAGTTTTAGTGTCTAGGAGATGGAGCTCTGCAGAGTGCATTCCCTTTATTTGGAGTTTTAGTGTCTAGGAGATGGAGCTCTGCAGAGTGCATTCCCTTTATTTGGAGTTTTAGTGTCAAGAAGATGGAGCTCTGCAGAGTGCATTCCCTTTATTTGGAGTTTTAGTGTCTAGAAGATGTAGCTCTGCAGAGTGCATTCCTTTATTTGCACACACAAAAATAAAGTTTTTAATTAACATATGTAAAACTAAATATATTCTTACGGAGATTAAAGGAACTAACACATTCTTTATGAATTAAACTGAAATCTACAACATTATTCAAACCAACTATTGTGATATGCAAAATTTGTGCGTGTTTTTTCAAAACATTAATAACTTAGGGAAAGACGTGGCTAACTTGAAAAATGTGTGTGAATTTTCTTATCAGTGAAGCCTGAAAAAGTCCTAACACTTGTGTTTGGGGTGCAAGAGCCCATGTAGGCCCTTGTGACACCTCTAGCACATGGTTCTACTCCTTTTCCTGCCTCCTGTTTTTTTGTGTGGATTGCTACAGAAGCAAGCAGTCCTTCTCGTCATTGTTGGACACAGGGAACATATGCAAACAATCGATGCAAAATCACGGAACAGGACTAAGGATCATGAATGGCAGCTTTGAAAGGGGTGACGTGTGTAAGAAATATGAAAAGTGACTGGTACAAAGCCAATCTCAAGACTTGTATTTTTGGACTGATGGATCAGCCCTGTCATCTCCAGAGAGTTAATCTCTTCTGTAAGTGCCACAGTGGATGTGTACATCTGCTGACTGCTGTCTTTAAAATACATGAAGGCAAAGCCTCATGACCCCTGCCAGTTGCCCTAGGCACTCATGCATCTCCACAGATCCCGATCCCTGGTTGCCTGGAACAGTTCTCTTGATGATATATATCCCTCAGTGCTATCGTTTCAGCCCATCCAGCATCATCTCTCTTGGTCTGCCTCTCCCCCTCCCATGTTTTCCAATGCCTCCCTTCTCATTACATGGCCAGTGAGGATGCTGTGAGGATGGATAAATAACTTCACTAAACTCGAAGTCACAAACCTAATCAGAACATCTCTGTTAATGCTGTGGCCCCCGAGAGGCCGTAAAATCAAAACTCAGGTTATATCCAAATTCCCAGTAAATATAACTTTTCCGACCTGTCTAGAGTTATCGTTTATGAGACGCATACTTAAATAACTTTTGTAATACCATTCCCCCGTGTGGGTTCCGGGGCCCCATTGTAGGGGAAAACAAGAATAGACCCACTGCCTACCCAAAAGCATGTCGTAAGAGTCGACTAATTGGGGAGCTTCCTTTGAAGTCGGAGTGCATCTGCCGGAGAGGCAAGGAACCAACAGTCTGTATTCAAGAGAATGAGATTTGTAAAACTGATGCACACGCAACACTCAGGTTCTGGAGCAGGACTGCAGTTCAGTAGTGGACGAACAACCAGAACTTTCCGCCAGAGTGTACAGCTGGTGAACGTGAAGAAGAAGAAGAACCACAGAACTTTTTTGGGGTATACAACACTCGTATGCACACAACACAGCACACATGTACAACATGCACATTTGCAGAAACACATGCTACGCAGCGCATAGATACAGTACAAACTCAACAGATACACACAGCACATGTTGCTGTTGTTCATCTATCACAAGTGATAAAACCCTTTCTTTCTTTCATCTGAAAGCATGAAATAGCATGATACATTGGTTTAAAGTGAGAAAGAGTTGTGCCTGAACATATTCATCTCACATACACACAAGAAAACACAAGACACCCGCACACACAACATACCATCATGTATATATGTACATTGGGAGTTCACATAGACGTGTGTGTTTATGTCAACTCAGTATTCTCAATGCTACACTTCCAGCAGGGATGCTTTCACACGCAGGAGTCGGAGTCCTGGCTCTGCAGACAGGAAGAGCCGCAGCCGTAGCCAGGCAAGTAGCACCAGCAGGGGGCGCCACCGGCAACGGAGTGGTAGTCGTAGAAGTAGTGATGGTAGTAGTGATGGAAGAAAGCACAGCAGGAGCAGAAGCAAACACAGCCGCAGCATCAGCCGTGACTCTGATAAAAGAAGACAGCCGCACCGAGCCAGAAGCCAAGGAAGCAGGGGATCTAGTTGCAGTCGAAGTTCTTATGACAGCAGGTAAGCTTGACATGTCCAAATGAGGCCTCTTTTGTCCAAATGAGGCCTTTTTTGTCCAGGGCTTTTTACCTAGGAAAATAGGTGCTGGTACTCACCTCAAAGTGTTTAAAAATTTGCTGCTACAGTAGTAGGTAACAAGTTCTTTTTACGTGACAGTGGCTGATTGGGTATATGAGGCTAGATTCATATTGTTATAGACCAATCATCCCTCACTGGGAGATATGGTAACATCATGTCGGCCACTTTTACTTCCCATGACTTTCCCTGATACCCATTTAAAGCTAGGTCAACATGGAAGCTAAGGTAAAATCCGGGAAAAAAACTGACTCCATGTGGATTTGAACTCGCGACGTTAGAGTAGTACTGAAAAAAAATTGTTGCCTGAAAAGGTGCAGTACTGCCAGAGAAAAAGTCTGCTTGTTTTGTCTTGTCTTGTCTTGTCTTGTCTTGTCCACAATATATTCCATAGTTTGTTCCACGTCTGAGGGTACACTGTAGAAATTGTGAAAGTTTATCAGCACCATCGATATTTTAAGAATTTATTGATAAACTACAAATTGTCGCACACAGAATGTAAGACAGTAGCTCTCAGCCTTCTGATGCAATGACCCTTTAATACAGTTCCTCAAGTTGTGGTGACCCTTTAATAGAGTTCCTCATGTTGTGGCGACCCTTGAATACAGTTCCTCATGTTGTGGCAACCCTTGAATACAGTTCCTCATGTTGTGGCAACCCTTTAATACAGTTCCTCATGTTGTGGCGACCCTTTAATACAGTTCCTCATGTTGTGGTGACCCTTGAATACAGTTCCTCATGTTGTGGCGACCCTTGAATACAGTTCCTCATGTTGTGGCGACCCTTGAATACAGTTCCTCATGTTGTGGCGACCCTTGAATACAGTTCCTCATGTTGTGGCGACCCTTTAATACAGTTCCTCAAGTTGTGGTGACCCTTTAATACAGTTCCTCAAGTTGTGGTGACCCTTTAATAGAGTTCCTCATGTTGTGGCGACCCTTGAATACAGTTCCTCATGTTGTGGTGACCCTTTAATACAGTTCCTCATGTTGTGGCGACCCTTGAATACAGTTCCTCATGTTGTGGCAACCCTTGAATACAGTTCCTCATGTTGTGGCAACCCTTGAATACAGTTCCTCATGTTGTGGCAACCCTTGAATACAGTTCCTCATGTTTTGGCGACCCTTTAATACAGTTCCTCGTGTTGTGGCGACCCTTTAATACAGTTCCTCATGTTGTGGCGACCCTTTAATACAGTTCCTCGTGTTGTGGCGACCCTTTAATACAGTTCCTCATGTTGTGGCGACCCTTTAATACAGTTCCTCGTGTTGTGGCGACCCTTTAATACAGTTCCTCATGTTTTGGCGACCCCCAACCATACAGTTATTTTTGTCGCTACTTCATAACTTTAGGAAATTTGTGTTTTCCAATGGTCTTTGGTGACCCCTGTGAAAGGGACTTTCAACCCACAAAAGGGTCGTGACCCACCGGTTGAGAACCACTGATGTAGGCAGATACCACTCACAGCTCTTAGCTTAGATAAGTGGCGGTGCTGCTTCAGAAGATGTGCTGTCATTGTTTTTATATTTTGTAAAACGAAACAGATAACAAGAAAATTTATACTTTATTAAATCCTTAACTGAAAACAAATATTTTTAATTACTTATTGACAATATGTTTACAGTTCAAGCTTGATTCGTTCATTCCAAAACAAAACCCATTCTTATTTAACTTTGCACGAAAAGATTAATTAATCAGGGTCAACCTGCACTGTTTTCACGAGAGTGCCACCTTTTATTTGTACTGTGTGCAGCTTTTTATCTCAGACATGTGCACAACAGCTAACTGTTGCTGGAACTGTGAAACATACAGTACCATACAAGGAAAAATAAACTCGGGATGACTGTTGACATTAAGCTTAAGGATTATGTGTGTGTAAAGAGATCAAAGAAAGGACTAGGAATGTTTTAAGTCAAGTTTCTGCGTACTTTCATTGAATGTCAGTCAGTCAGTAGAGTGTCCATTGCAGAACCTTACTGCCATAACAACCTTCCGGAAAACGTTTCAATTACTAGCAAGATGTCCCGAGTCTGAATCACCCATTGGAGATCATCCTCCACATCCTGCACCCATCTTCTCTTTGGCCTTCCTTTTCCTCTCTTCCCAGGCAGATACCCCTTCACTATTGTTCTCTCTAAACTTTCATGACGTTTCATGTGACCAGAATATCTCAATTGTCTGTGTTTTATCGTCTTTAATAGCCAAGCTTCTTCAGTATTCAGTTCTTGAAGTATGGATGCATTTGTTTGTTTCTTTACCCATGATATTCTTACAACCCGTCTATAACATTTGTATTCAAAGGCATTTATGCGCTGTTCAGCTTGTTTAGTAAGTGTCCAGGTGTCACAGGCGTATGTTGCAATGGGAAAGATGCATGCTGTTTGAAATCTGCATAGAAATTGAATGTAGATTGTGTATAATTTGTTGTTTTCATGTCAGGTCACGCAGCTCAAGAAGTAACAGCAGCAGCAGTAGCAGCTCAGACAATGACAGACAGACGGAAGAGGACAGGAAAGATGCTACTGTCAGAAATGATAGCACTGTCCCAGAAATAGAAGAAAAGAATGAAAACAAAACAGTTGAAGGTTTGTGCTGTCGAAAGTGCATTCTGATTTCTTGACCCTTCTCGCCCTTGCTGTCCATGTCCGTCCTCTCACTCGATCACTCTCACTGCCTCCTGTCTCACTCCCTCTCATTTGATCTTCTATCTCTCTCCACCTCCCCCTTCTCTCTCCCTCCCACTCAGTTGCAGTCTCTCACCTAGTCTCTCTCACCACCTCTCTGTCTCGCTCACTCTCTCTCTCTTCATAAAAGAAAAAAATGTGTGGATCCCTCTGGATGAAACGATTATAGAGCCTGGATTGTGATGAGGCGGGATCACCCCACACCTGTTGCCAGGGCACTTGTTTATGACAGTCTGACTGATCAGTGTTTGTCATATCACACGTGATTGTCAGTGTTTACCTAACCACACCATATTGTCAGTGTTTGTCTAATCACACGGTGTTGGCAGTGTTTGTCTAATCACGCGTATTGTCAGTATTTGCCTAATCCTGTGGTATTGTCAGTGTTTGTCTAATCACACGGTATTGTCAGTGTTTGTCTAATCACACGGTATTGTCAGTGTATGTCTAATCACACGGTATTGTCAGTGTTTGTCTAATCACACGGTATTGTCAGTGTATGTCTAATCACACGGTATTGTCAGTGTTTGTCTAATCACACAGTATTGTCAGTGCTTGTCTAATCACGCGGTATTGTCAGTGTTTGTCTAATCACACGGTATTGTCAGTGTATGTCTAATCACGCGGTATTGTCAGTGTTTGTCTAATCACGCGGTATTGTCAGCCTTTTAATTCTGTCGACAGATGCAGAAACCAAGAAAACTGGAGATTTGGTGGACATGTTTGCTGATACCGAGGACATGTTCAGTGAAAACTATAATGTGAGTGTGTTTCTGGTGGTGGAGGTGTTTACATAAAACATTACTAGTTTCTATCAAGCAGTACATTCTCTGGGTACAGAGGGGGGGGAGAGAGAGAGAGTATGTGGCAGTACTGCTAACAGGGACAGAGGCAGTCTTGGTCTCTGATGTGCAGAAACATTGACACATGTATAAGCTGCTAATCCCACCATTTTGTTTCTAAGACTAGTATGCACTCGTTTGATGAGAGGTCATTTCATGCTTGTCACCTTCATATCTCCAAACATTTTATGGGCCCATTCCACTGGGTGATTGTGTCCCCAAACATTTCTGGACCCATTTCACTGGGTGATCGTGTCCCCAAACATTTTCTGGACCCATTCCACTGGGTGATCGTGTCCCCAAACATTTTATGGGCCCATTTGACTGGGTGATCGTGTCCCCAAACATTTTATGGGCCCATTTGACTGGGTAATCGTGTCCCCAAACATTTTATGGGCCCATTTGACTGGGTGATCGTGTCCCCAAGCATTTTCTGGGCCCATTCCACTGGGTGATCATGTCCCCAAACATTTTATGGGCCCATTTGACTGGGTGATCGTGTCCCCAAACATTTTCTGGACCCATTCCACTGGGTGATCGTGTCCCCAAACATTTTCTGGACCCATTCCACTGGGTGATCGTGTCCCCAAACATTTTATAGGCCCATTTGACTGGGTGATCGTGTCCCCAAACATTTTATGGGCCCATTTGACTGGGTGATCGTGTCCCCAAACATTTTCTGGGCCCATTCCACTGGGTGATCATGTCCCCAAACATTTTATGGGCCCATTTGACTGGGTGATCGTGTCCCCAAACATTTTATGGGCCCATTTGACTGGGTGATCGTGTCCCCAAACATTTTCTGGAGTCATTCCACTGGGTGATCGTGTCCCCCAACATTTTCTGGACCCATTCCACTGGGTGATCGTGTCCCTAAACATTTTCTGGACCCATTTGACTGGGTGATCATGTTTCCGAACATTTTTTTAGCCCATTCAACTGAATGATCATGTCCGCAAACATTTTCTGGACCCATTCCACTGGGTGATCAGGAAGCCCAGGTTAGTTTCCTCTGAACCTATGTCCACTAGGCCAGCACACAAGCCCAGGTTAGTTTCCTCTGAACCTATGTCCACTAGGACAGCACACAAGCCCAGGTTAGTTTCCTCTGAAGCTTTGTCCACTAGGCCAGCACACAAGCCCAGGTTAGTTTCCTCTGAACCTATGTCCACTAGGCCAGCACACAAGCCCAGGTTAGTTTCCTCTGAAGCTATGTCCACTAGGCCAGCACACAAGCCCAGGTTAGTTTCCTCTGAAGCTATGTCCACTAGGCCAGCACACAAGCCCAGGTTGTGTCTCACATTTTATCAAGTAATTATGTGAAGTCTTCTGTTTCTGTGTTTCCCCCTCAGTGGGGCCCAGGAACCCACAGGAAAATGTTACATACAGTGATATCTGTAACCTGTTTCAGAGTCCAGGAAAATGTTACATACAGTGATATCTGTAACCTGTTTCAGAGTCCCGGCATGCGTCGAGGCCTCATGGGTGTGGCAGAGAACCCCAACCTGACTGATAACTGGGACGATGCTGAAGGCTACTATCGTAAGTTCGGGTCTTGTTTTGTGTCTCTTCAGAATGTCAACTCCTGTATTCTGTCTCTGCAGACTTTCATCTCCTGTATTGTGTCCCTTCAGACTTTCATCTTCTGTATTGTGTCTCATTAGACTTTCATCCCATGTATTGTGTCTCTTCAGACTTTTATCTCCTGTATTGTGTCCCTTCAGACTTTCATCTCCTGTATTGTGTCTCTTCAGACTTTCATCCCCTGTTTTGTGTCTCTTCAGACTTTCATCCCCTGTATTGTGTCTCTTCAGACTTTCATCTCCTTTATTGTGTCCCTTCAGACTTTCATCTCCTGTATTGTGTCTCTTCAGACTTTCATCTCCTCTATTGTATCCCTTCAGACTTTTATCTCCTGTATTGTGTCTCTTCACTTTCATCTCTTGTATTGTGTCTCTTCACTTTCATCTCCTGTATTGTGTCTCTTCACTTTCATCTCCTGTATTGTGTCTCTTCACTTTCATCTCCTGTATTGTGTCTCTTCACTTTCATCTCCTGTATTGTGTCTCTTCACTTTCATCTCCTGTATTGTGTCCCTTCAGACTTTCATCTCCTGTATTGTGTCTCTTCAGACTTTCATCTCCAGTAGTGTGTCTCTTCAGTCTTTCATCTCTGGATTTGGTATCGACCCTTAACCAAGCCAGTGTTAGATTTGTCCATGATTAGTTTGGTTTTCAGTTGTGTTTTTTGCAGGATGAGGTACATGCTACCTCCCCATAGATTCTTCTTATGACATCCATGATATATGTTTGCCTTACATGCCCTAATTACATTTGGGTTATTGGGTAATTGTCAGTAGTGTTGTGTATTTTGTTTTTCTCCCTAATTATTTTTATTTTATTATTTATTTTATTACTTTTGAATGTGTATCTAACCATGTCTCTGCATGTACACATCCATGCATCTGTCTGTCTGTCTGTCTCTTTGTATTTATATGTGTATCTTTATGTGTCCTTTTTGTGTGTCTCCTTATATTGTTATTTTTGTGTCTGCCATGTTCCCCCCCCCCCCCCCCCGATCACTTTGTTTCTTTCAGTGAAACATTCTGTAGATTTAGATTGCACAAATGGCTCTCTCTCTCTCTCTCTCTCTCTCTCTCTCTCTCTCTCTCTCTCTCTCTCTCTCTCTCTCTCTCTCTCTCTCTCTCTCTCTCTCTCTCTCCTCTCATTGACAGCTGAATCTTATGATGCATACCTTTCTTGCTGTGTGTGTGTGTGTGTCTCTCTCTCTCTGTCACGATCATTAACACAGCTGAATTGTGTGGTACACATGCCTCCTTATCTACCTCTTCTTTGTTCACTGACTTACCTCAATCCTACGGCGTGTCTGTTCACAGGAGTACGTATCGGAGAAACCCTCGACAAGCGATACTCTGTGTATGCCTACAAGGGCCAGGGCATGTTCAGTAATGTTGTCATGTGTCGTGACGCCGCCCGTGGAAACACAGACGTGGCCATCAAAGTGATTCGAAACAATGACATGATGTGAGTATCAGGTGTGTGTGTAAAACGTGTCCCACCAAGGCCCAGTCTAGAACATATTTCTTTCTCTGTCTAGAACATATTTCTTTCTCTGTCTAGAACATATTTCTTTTCCTGTCTAGAACATATTTCTTTCCCTGTCTAGAACATATTTCTTTCCCTGTCTAGAACATATTTCTTTCCCTGTCTAGAACATATTTCTTTCCCTGTCTAGAACATATTTCTTTCCCTGTCTAGAACATATTTCTTTCCCTGTCTAGAACACATTTCTTTCCCTGTCTAGAACATATTTCTTTCCCTGTCTAGAACACATTTCTTTCCTTGTCTAGAACATATTTCTTTCCCTGTCTAGAACACATTTCTTTCCCTGTCGAGAACACATTTCTTTCCCTGTCGAGAACACATTTCTTTCCCTGTCTAGAACATATTTCTTTCCCTGTCTAGAACATATTTCTTTCCCTGTCTAGAACACATTTCTTTCCCTGTCTAGAAAACATTTCTTTCCCTGTCTAGAACATATTTCTTTCCCAGTCTAGAACATATTTCTTTCCCAGTCTAGAACATATTTCTTTCCCTGTCTAGAACATATTTCTTTCCCTGTCTAGAACATTTCTTTCCCTGTCTAGAACATATTTCTTTCCCTGTCTAGAACATTTCTTTCCCTGTCTAGAACATATTTCTTTCCCTGTCTAGAACATATTTCTTTCCCTATTAAAGAAAATATTTCTTTCCCTGTCTAGAACATATTTCTTTCCCTGTCTAGAACATATTTCTTTCCCTGTCTAGAACATATTTCTTTCCCTGTCTAGAACACATTTCTTTCCCTGTCTAGAACATATTTCTTTCCCTGTCTAGAACACATTTCTTTCCTTGTCTAGAACATATTTCTTTCCCTGTCTAGAACACATTTCTTTCCCTGTCGAGAACACATTTCTTTCCCTGTCGAGAACACATTTCTTTCCCTGTCTAGAACATATTTCTTTCCCTGTCTAGAACATATTTCTTTCCCTGTCTAGAACACATTTCTTTCCCTGTCTAGAAAACATTTCTTTCCCTGTCTAGAACATATTTCTTTCCCAGTCTAGAACATATTTCTTTCCCAGTCTAGAACATATCTCTTTCCCTGTCTAGAACATATTTCTTTCCCTGTCTAGAACATATTTCTTTCCCTGTCTAGAACATTTCTTTCCCTGTCTAGAACATATTTCTTTCCCTGTCTAGAACATTTCTTTCCCTGTCTAGAACATATTTCTTTCCCTGTCTAGAACATATTTCTTTCCCTGTCTAGAACACATTTCTTTCCCTGTCTAGAACATATTTCTTTCCCTGTCTAGAACATATTTCTTTCTAAAAAAAATGTGTAGAGCAGGTCTTGAAAATGTACATAGAACAGGTCTATCTAGAGCGGGTGTCACCAACATCATGCCTAGAACATATTTCTTTCTAAAAAATGTGTAGAGCAGGTCTTGAAAATGTACATAGAAAATGTCTATCTAGAGCGGGTCTCACCAACATCATGCCTAGAACATATTTCTTTCTAAGAATGCCTAGAACATGTCTCTTTGAGGGCCTGTCTAGAACATCTGTCCTTAGTCGTGAATACATTTCAACATAATTGTACATAATTAAGAATAACAGTGCGGCAAACTGTTTCAGTATATAGGGGCTGTGTCTATCGCTCAAGCCAGCAGAGAAGCTTACGAAATCCACAACAATGAGCTTCCTTCGAACTCGAGACAGTCTGCACACAAATATATCAAATCTGTCAAACGAATGCACACGCAACACTCAGATTCTGGAACAGGACTGCAGCCCAGAAGTGGACGAATAACCAGAACTTTCCACCAGAGTTTCCATCTGGTGAACGCGAAGAAGGAGACAACATTGAGCCACAACCTCTTAACAATGACAACTTCTACTTCTTCATCTTCTTCTTCTTTGTTCGCCAGTTGTAAGCTCTGGCGGAAAGTCCTGGTTGTTCCTCCACCTGGACTTTGGCTTTGTGCCAGGCCTTAGTTTTGCGTGTACATTCCTTTTACTGACTTATTTGTGTGCAGTTGGTTGTTTCTTGTGGCTCGGGCAGATGCACTCCGACTTTGAAGGAAGCCCCCAATTAGTGGACTCATACGACATCATGTTTAAAGGGTCTTTTGTTGAAACTAGTGACATAGGGTAAATGAGGTAATGGACCCTTTTCCATACCTTGAGGCATATAGGGCTAGACTATATTTTAAAGACCAATCGACAGTCTGTGGTCATGTGGTCAGCTGCACTCTGGCCACTTTTACATCTTAGAACTTTACATCGTGTCCATTTAAAGCTAGTTTGACCTGAAAACCAAGGTCAGTTCTGCAGAACAAAAGTCAAAACTCCATCAGGATCCGAGACATAGGGTACGGGCAAATATTTCAATTCTTTTATGATTGTATAAATGGGGATGCAAGTTTGTATTATTGCAGTGATTGCCTATCATTTAAATGATTGTGTTTTTTTGCCATGATTGTGTACCATTGCTGTAATCAATCCTAATGTGAATACCGTCAACTCTTGTAGGTTGAAAAACAGGAATGAAAGAGCTAGAATTTTGAGGAAACTTAATGATTCCGATCCTGACGACAAATTCCACTGTCTGCGGTTGTTCAGACACTTCTACCATAAACAACATTTGTGCCTTGTGTTTGAACCTCTCAGGTAGGGGCAATCTGTTGCTGCTGTTACTGTTGTTGTTGTTGTTGTTACCGTTGTCATGTTGTTATTGCTGTTACTGTTGTTGTTGTTGTTACCGTTGTCATTGTTACTGTGTTGTTATTGCTGTTACTGTTGTGGTTATTGTTGTTAATGTCACCTAGACTCAATAACATCCTCTATTCTGAGGCAGATAGAAAACAGCAGTATCAGTGTATCATTTCACTCGTATTAGTGGTCACTGGTTTAAGAGTCAGCATCAGGCATAATCCGTGGATTCTTGTCTCCTGCAGCAAATGCCCTCTGTTGTAGATGCTGACTGTTTCAGTAGTAGATGGTTTTATATGGGTCCTACTGTTCCTCTTGTTCAGCCTTTATTGCCAGATCCACACCTGATTCTAAATGCACACGACCTGTAACATAGTTTCATCAAACATCATCATCCCCGTGTGTTTTTTGGGGCCCATTATGGGGAAAACAAGATTAGGCACACTGCCTTACATGTCCTAGGAGTTGACTAACTGGGGACTTCTTTCAAAGTCAGAGTGCGTCTGCCCGAGCGACCAGGAACAACCTAACTGCCCACAAATAAGCCAGTAAAACAGATGTTCACACAAAACTCAGGCTCTGGCACAAAGCCAAAGTCCAAACGGGCGAACAGTCAGGACTTTCCACCAGGGCTTACAGCCAGTGAACAAAGAAGAAGAAGAAAAAGATCTAAAATCGCATCTTTTTTTTTAGCATTTATTCATAAATGTTCTTCAGAACCTTCCTTGTCCCTGCAGCTAATACTGTTGTATCTAGCATCTGGCACTCTTCCATATCCCAAACAGAGTATTCATTATATCTTTTTGGTTAGTGTTCAGTCAAAGTCCACATTTGTTAGTCTGATGTTACCTGTTGTTGGTCTGATGTTACCTGTTGTTGGTCTGATGTGACCTGTTGTTGGTCTGATGTGACCTGTTGTTGGTCTGATGTGACCTGTTGTTGGTCTGATGTGACCTGTTGTTGGTCTGATGTTACCTGTTGTTGGTCTGATGTGACCTGTTGTTGGTCTGATGTGACCTGTTGTTGGTCTGATGTGACCTGTTGTTGGTCTGATGTTACCTGTTGTTGGTCTGATGTTACCTGTTGTTGGTCTGATGTTACCTGTTGTTGGTCTGATGTTACCTGTTGTTAGTCTGATGTTACCTGTTGTTAGTCTGATGTTACCTGTTGTTAGTCTGATGTTACCTGTTGTTAGTCTGATGTTACCTGTTGTTAGTCTGATGTTACCTGTTGTTGGTCTGATGTTACCTGTTGTTGGTCTGATGTTACCTGTTGTTGGTCTGATGTTACCTGTTGTTGGTCTGATGTTACCTGTTGTTGGTCTGATGTTACCTGTTGTTGGTCTGATGTGACCTGTTGTTGGTCTGATGTGACCTGTTGTTGGTCTGATGTTACCTGTTGTTGGTCTGATGTTACCTGTTGTTGGTCTGATGTTACCTGTTGTTAGTCTGATGTTACCTGTTGTTGGTCTGATGTTACCTGTTGTTGGTCTGATGTGACCTGTTGTTGGTCTGATGTTACCTGTTGCTAAGAAATATCCCCTATTTGTGTAAAGCGGTCTTGTGTCAACAATTAAAGCTTCTATTTGTTGTATGTAGAAGTATTCTATGGCCTATGTGAAAGTTGATGTATGAATTTATTGTGTGTGATCTGTTGTGAATTTATAGCTTGTGACCGTTTTATGCGATCTGAGATGACATTAACCATTTTGCCCCGCGAATGCTTAAAAAAAAAATGCCACAAACTCGTGGGAATTTCTGAAGAAAGTTAAAAAAAAAAACTGTTTTTTACGCAGGTAACTAATCAATTGGTAACAATTATATTTATTCACATTTTGACATTTGTGATGAAAGATCCCTAAAGGGAGTAATCAGTAAACAAGAATACAGTGAAGTGATGGATGGATGGAATGCATTCTGGGAGCATACCATCATATGTATTTGTCACTGAGGTTTATGGGAAAATTAGTCAGCAAGGCTTTTAAAAAGCTGTTTGATTTAGACAGAAATACCTCTGAATGCTATATGAAGTTAACATGTTCATATCCTGGCCTACTAAACACTACACAGGCGTACATAGAACCAGCAGCATTTAAGCTTTTCGAGAACAGGCCACTGCAGAAATAGCATTTACGGCACTGTTTCACAACTGGAAATGACTAGATTTAGCCGTCTCCGGGAGATAGGATTGAACTTTGTTGTTGTAAGTACCGGTATTGTGTGACCTGGTAGAAAGTGAAAGTATGTATTTGTTGTTGTAAGTACCGGTATTGTGTGACCTGGTAGGAAGTGAAAGTATGTTTTTGTTGTTGTAAGTACCGGTATTGTGTGACCTGGTAGGAAGTGAAAGTATGTTTTTGTTGTTGTAAGTACCGGTATTGTGTGACCTGGTAGGAAGTGAAAGTATGTTTTTGTTGTTTGCAGTAGATTTATTTGACCTGGTATGATTCTAAACTAACTGTAACTGATGGACATGATCTACAGTACATGTTTATGTTCTCTAAATTGCAGCATGAACCTCAGAGAGGTCTTGAAGAAGTACGGTAAAGATGTGGGTCTGCACATCAAAGCAGTCCGATCCTACACTCAGCAGCTGTTACTGGCCCTGAAACTGCTGAGGAAATGTAGCATCCTACATGCGGACATCAAGCCTGACAATATTCTGGTGAGTCCTAGTCTTATTTGTGTGTCTTCTTCTGTTTGTGTGTGCTTTCACCCACAACAGGACAATTGACATGTTGTGTTGTGGTTTACAGCTAGACTGCAATATCTGTGCCTTTCAGCTCAACACATCTGAATTTATCAAACTTTTTCCCAATTAGTTTCCTTATTGGCCATTACTTCTAATATGAGAATCAACACTGAAAAGACAGAAGTAATGTCAATAGGAAAAAAGAAGACAGATCTAAACATAGCAATAGAATACAAAGGCATTAAACAGGCATCTGAGTTTAAATATCTGGGAACTACATTTACAGAAGATGGGAAATTGGATAAAGAAATTGACATTAGATGCAGTAAAGCAAACCAAGTATTGGGACAGCTAGCCCCCCTCTTACAGCATAAGACAATCCCAATCAGCACAAAGAGACATCTTATTCAAAGCATATTTATTCTAACTCTGTGCTACCAGTGCCAGACATGGTCACTCACAACAAACCATAAAAGAAAATTAGTAACCACGGAAATGAGATGTTTGAGAAGGGCTGTAGGAGTGACCATAAGAGATAAGATCAGGAATGAGATCATAAGAGAACAAGTCGGCACAGAACCAATTCTGGATTACATACAAAGACAGCAAGTGAAATGGTTTCCCCACTTAGAGAGAATGCCTTGTGACACCATACCATACAAAGCATACGTGGAAAGAGAAGAAGGACGTAGAGCACGGGGTAGACCAAGAACAAGATGGAAGGATAACATCAGAAAAACTCTACAACAGCACGATGTGCCTATGGTTGAGGCAGCCAGAAGAGCTAGAAACAGAACCTTATATCTCCCTCGACACCCACAGCGGTAAAAGAGGAAGTGAAGAAGAAGAAGAAGAAGATTGGCCATTTTCTCTAAATGGGCAGATAACTTTTGTCTGTTTTTGTCTTTGACAAAGGTCAATGAATCCAAGATGGTGCTGAAACTGTGTGACTTTGGATCAGCGTCTCATGTGTCGGAGAATGACATCACTCCCTACCTGGTCAGCAGATTCTACAGAGCTCCAGAGATCAGTGAGTTTTGTATTCTTGGGATCATGTTTATATGTGTATGTGTGTGTGCACTTCATAGAGATCTGTGGCTTTCTCATTTGAACACCACAGTCTTCATAGAGATCTGTGGCTTTCTCATCTGAACACCACAGTCTTCATAGAGAACTGTGGCTTTCTCATCTGAACACCACAGTCTTCATAGTGATCTGTGGCTTTCTCATCTGAACACCACAGTCTTCATAGAGATCTGTGGCTTTCTCATCTGAACACCAGTCTTCATAGAGATTTGTGGCTTTCTCATCTGAACACCACAGTCTTCATAGTGATCTGTGGCTTTCTCATCTGAACACCACAGTCTTCATAGAGATCTGTGGCTTTCTCATCTGAACACCACAGTCTTCATAGAGATCTGTGGCTTTCTCATTTGACACCACAGTCTTCATAGAGATCTGTGGCTTTCTCATCTGAACACCACAGTCTTCATAGAGATCTGTGGCTTTCTCATCTGAACACCACAGTCTTCATAGTGATCTGTGGCTTTCTCATCTGAACACCACAGTCTTCATAGAGATCTGTGGCTTTCTCATCTGAACACCACAGTCTTCATAGAGATCTGTGGCTTTCTCATCTGAACACCACAGTCTTCATAGAGATCTGTGGCTTTCTCATCTGAACACCACAGTCTTCATAGAGATCTGTGGCTTTCTCATCTGAACACCACAGTCTTCATAGTGATCTGTGGCTTTCTCATCTGAACACTACAGTCTTCATAGAGATCTGTGGCTTTCTCATCTGAACACCACAGTCTTCATAGAGATCTGTGGCTTTCTCATTTGACACCACAGTCTTCATAGAGATCTGTGGCTTTCTCATCTGAACACCACAGTATTCATAGAGAACTGTGGCTTTCTCATCTGAACACCACAGTCTTCATAGAGAACTGTGGCTTTCTCATCTGAACACCACAGTCTTCATAGAGATCTGTGGCTTTCTCATCTGAACACCACAGTCTTCATAGTGATCTGTGGCTTTCTCATCTGAACACCACAGTCTTCATAGAGATCTGTGGCTTTCTCATCTGAACACCACAGTCTTCATAGAGATCTGTGGCTTTCTCATTTGACACCACAGTCTTCATAGAGATCTGTGGCTTTCTCATCTGAACACCACAGTCTTCATAGAGAACTGTGGCTTTCTCATCTGAACACCACAGTCTTCATAGAGAACTGTGGCTTTCTCATCTGAACACCACAGTCTTCATAGAGATCTGTGGCTTTCTCATCTGAACACCACAGTCTTCATAGTGATCTGTGGCTTTCTCATCTGAACACCACAGTCTTCATAGAGAACTGTGGCTTTCTCATCTGAACACCACAGTCTTCATAGAGATCTGTGGCTTTCTCATCTGAACACCACAGTCTTCATAGAGATCTGTGGCTTTCTCATCTGAACACCACAGTATTCATAGAGAACTGTGGCTTTCTCATCTGAACACCACAGTCTTCATAGAGATTTGTGGCTTTCTCATCTGAACACAACAGTCTTCATAGAGATCTGTGGCTTTCTCATCTGAACACCACAGTCTTCATAGAGATCTGTGGCGTTCTCATCTGAACACCACAGTCTTCATAGAGATCTGTGGCTTTCTCATCTGAACACCACAGTCTTCATAGAGATCTGTGGCTTTCTCATCTGAACACCACAGTCTTCATAGAGATCTGTGGCTTTCTCATCTGAACACCACAGTCTTCATAGAGATCTGTGGCTTTCTCATCTGAACACCACAGTCTTCATAGAGATCTGTGGCTTTCTCATCTGAACACCACAGTCTTCATAGAGATCTGTGGCTTTCTCATCTGAACACTACAGACAAAGAGAACCAGAAGAAAAAATATCATAATTTTTTTAAAATTAAAAGTCGACAGTAAAGTTATATGTGACTGGATCTAAAACTGTTACTTGACCTAAAACATGTAACTGGATCTAAAACATTTGACTGGATCTAAAACTGTTACTTAATCTCAAACATGTGACTGGATCTAAAACTGTTACTTGATCAAAAACATGTGACTAGATCTAAAACTGTTACTTGATCAAAAACATGTGACTGGATCTAAAACTGTTACTTGACCTCAAACATGTGACTGGATCTAAAACTGTTACTTGATCTCAAACATGTGACTGGATCTAAAACTGTTACTTGATATAAACATGCGATTTGATCTAAAAATATTATTGTCTCCTTAAAATTGTGACTTACCTAAGAAAAATATTGCGACTCAACAGTATGAGAAGCTTGCAAATATACATTGATCTCAGATGAACATGCTTGTGTCTCACTTGTATGAACATGCTTGTGTCCCACTTGTATGAACATGCTTGTCTCCCACTTGTATAAACATGCTTGTGTCCCACTTGTATGAACATGCTTGTGTCCCACTTGTATAAACATGCTTGTCTCCCACTTGTATGAACATGCTTGTGTCCCACTTGTATAAACATGCTTGTCTCCCACTTGTATAAACATGCTTGTCTCCCACTTGTATGAACATGCTTGTGTCCCACTTGTATGAACATGCTTGTGTCCCACTTGTATAAACATGCTTGTCTCCCACTTGTATGAACATGCTTGTCTCCCACTTGTATAAACATGCTTGTGTCCCACTTGTATGAACATGCTTGTGTCCCACTTGTATACCCATGCTTGTATGAACATGCTTGTGTCCCACTTGTATAAACATGCTTGTGTCCCACTTGTATGTACATGTTTGTGTCCCACTTGTATAAACATGCTTGTGTCCCACTTGTATGAACATGCTTGTGTCCCACTTGTATGAACATGCTTGTGTCCCACTTGTATAAACATGCTTGTGTCCCACTTGTATGTACATGTTTGTGTCCCACTTGTATAAACATGCTTGTCTCCCACTTGTATAAACATGCTTGTGTCCCACTTGTATGTACATGTTTGTGTCCCACTTGTATGTACATGTTTGTGTCCCACTTGTATAAACATGCTTGTCTCCCACTTGTATAAACATGCTTGTGTCCCACTTGTATGTACATGTTTGTGTCCCACTTGTATGAACATGTTTGTCTCCCACTTGTATAAACATGCTTGTCTCCCACTTGTATGTACATGCTTGTGTCCCACTTGTATGAACATGCTTGTGTCCCACTTGTATGAACATGCTTGTGTCCCACTTGTATAAACATGCTTGTGTCCCACTTGTATGAACATGCTTGTGTCCCACTTGTATAAACATGCTTGTCTCCCACTTGTATAAACATGCTTGTGTCCCACTTGTATAAACATGCTTGTCTCCCACTTGTATGTACATGTTTGTGTCCCACTTGGACTACTTCCAGTTTTGGGTCTGGGTTATGACCACAACATCGACACCTGGTCGGTGGGCTGCACCATCTATGAGCTGTATACCGGCAAAATCCTCTTCCCGGGCACCAGCAACAACGACATGCTCAAGACCATCATGGACTACAAGGGCCGGATACCCAACCGGATGATCCGCAAAGGGATGTTCAAAGACCAGCACTTTGACTCATCCTTTAACTTCCTGCACCATGAAATGGACAAAATCACACAGAGGGTGCGTATGGCATGTCTTTCTTTGTGCTAACACTTCTTTCTCTTGTCAAGATAATAGTTATGTCTTTCTTTGTGCTAACACTTCTTTTTCTTGTCAAGATAATAGTTGTTTCTTTCTTTGTGCTAACACTTCTTTCTCTTGTCGATAAAAGTTATGTCTTTCTTTGTGCTAACACTTCTTTTTCTTGTCAAGATAATAGTTATGTCTTTCGTTGTGCTAACACTTCTTTCTCTTGTCAAGATAATAGTTATGTCTTTCGTTGTGCTAACACTTTTTTCTCTTGTCAAGATAATAGTTTCACATTATTTACTCTTTGTGTGTGTTCCGGGCCCTGTTTTGTGAGAACACATGAATAGACCCGCTGCCCTCTAAACAAGTATGTCCTAAAAGTGGGCTAATTGTCTATTTCCTTTGGAGTATGAATGCATCTGCCCAAGAGGCGAGAAACCAATAGTCTGCATACACATAAGATGTATTTGTAAAATGGATGTGCATACAAAACTCAGTTGTGCAGCAAGACAAAAGTCCAGAAGGGGATGAACAACCAGAACTTTCTGCAAGAGTTTGCTAAAGGTGAATGCTCTGAAGATTAAGCAGATAAAATTTACTAAATTTTAAACATCAGCATCATCTTGTGGTATGTAGTAATGCATCTCACGAAGCTAGTATCCTTTAGGTCAGCGAAGGAATTCAACAGTTTTATATTCCTTTAGTATAAGAATTCAGTTTCCACGGTGGACGGGTGTTTTCTGAAACTGTTCTCTTGGTTTCTAGACAGTATGAGAGTAGCGCCATGGGAGAGATTTCAGTCTCATCACATAATGTTGCCACAGACAACTGTGGGTGCACCTGAGACAACAAAACATTTGTCTGAGTAATAGTTTTTATGATAATAATCAGATAACAGTCAGTCATGATGTTTTGAAGTGAATCGTGGAAAGTCAATAGATTGATGAGAGATTGTACTGAAACTGCTTAAATGTAGTTTTATGAATGAGAGCACGGTGGACAGACTGATAGTGCAGTGAAGATGTCCAGAAAGAATGAAGCTCTCAGAGACACCCGATTTTCTGTCTTCATAGAAAGTGATCCACTTTGTTTAGACACATCATAGAAAGTGATCCACTTTGTTTAGACACATCATAGGAATGATCCACTTTGTTTAGACACATCATAGAAAGTGATCCACTTTGTTTAGACACATCATAGGAAGTGATCCACTTTGTTTAGACACATCATAGAAAGTGATCCACTTTGTTTAGACACATCATAGGAACATGAAATAGAAGAATTCACAGCATGGATTTGAATCCCGTCATTCTAAAAAGCCACAGAACAAACACTTCTAACGTACCATTTTCCCCATAAAAGCCCCTTTTTTTGACTCACTATAGAGACTTGTTTAGAAGGAGATTTAACATATTTGGTTCATTTCATTCATGTCTGAGCAAACATTTAGTATGACAGGGGACGACTGAAATTACTAAAAAAAAATAGTTTTCTTTTTTAAAAAAAAAGGCTGTGTTCTAAAAATATTCTGCTAATATTTTTTGCTGGCCACAATGATTAGCAGGCAACCCGGTTACAAGGTCAGCTGTCAAACTCTATATTTAGTTTACATGCCCCTGTAAATGTAAGCAAATGGATAATACTATGCTGAATTGGTTTTCATTGATTGCTTTCCTTTCTTCATATATTATTTGTTCCAGTGTTGGAAATGACAAATCAATTTTGCATTTTTTTAAAAAAAATCTACATGTCAAATATTTTTTAAGAATTTTGTTAATGAAGTTATAGTTACGAAATAGCAGTGTGTTATATATTATTGTCTGGATAACAACAAGTGACCTAAACAGTAGTAAATGGCAGAATGAAAAAACATATTGACAGATAAACGTAAAAAGGGGTATTCTAGTGACAAATAGCATGCATACTTAATCGTGGATTAATATGATCGGCACGTTGTGGATGAAGATGTCAGCATGATTTCAGCTGCCTGTATTTCCCAGGATATTTACCTGGTACCCATTATACTTTTTTTTAATGCTTCATTTTTTTCCCAGCACAACTGTAATAGACCTCTGTTGTGAATAGCGGCACTTTGTTGTGTAAATTTTATAGTGAGTACTGGCACTTTGTTGTGTACATTTTATAGTGAGTACTGGCACTTTGTTGTGTAAATTTTATAGTGAGTACTGGCACTTTGTTATGTAAATTTTATAGTGAGTACTGGCACTTTGTTGTGTAAATTTTATAGTGAGTACTGGCACTTTGTTATGTAAATTTTATAGCGAGTACTGGCACTTTGTTATGGTCATTTTATAATGAGTACTGGCACTTTGTTATGGTCATTTTATGGTGAGTACTGGCACTTTGTTATGGTCATTTTATGGTGAGTACTGGCACTTTGTTATGGTCATTTTATAGTGAGTACTGGCACTTTGTTATGGTCATTTTATAGTGAGTACTGGCACTTTGTTATGGTCATTTTATAGTGAGTACTGGCACTTTTTTATGGTCATTTTATAGTGAGTACTGGCACTTTGTTATGGTCATTTTGTATTTTTATGGTCATATAGTGAGTACTGGCACTTTGTTATGGTCATTTTATAGTGAGTACTGGCACTTTGTTATGGTCATTTTATAGTGAGTACTGGCACTTTGTTATGGTCATTTTATGGTGAGTACTGGCACTTTGTTATGGTCATTTTATGGTGAGTACTGGCACTTTGTTATGGTCATTTTATGGTGAGTACTGGCACTTTGTTATGGTCATTTTATGGTGAGTACTGGCACTTTGTTATGGTCATTTTATGGTGAGTACTGGCACTTTGTTATGGTCATTTTATAGTGAGTACTGGCACTTTGTTATGGTCATTTTATAGTGAGTACTGGCACTTTGTTATGGTCATTTTATAGTGAGTACTGGCACTTTGTTATGGTTATTTTATAGTGAGTACTGGCACTTTGTTATGGTCATTTTATAGTGAGTACTGGCACTTTGTTATGGTCATTTTATAGTGAGTACTGGCACTTTGTTATGGTCATTTTATAATGAGTACAGGCACTTTGTTATGGTCATTTTATAGTGAGTACTGGCACTTTGTTATGGTCATTTTATAGTGAGTACTGGCACTTTTTTATGGTCATTTTATAGTGAGTACTGGCACTTTTTTATGGTCATTTTATAGTGAGTACTGGCACTTTGTTATGGTCATTTTATGGTGAGTACTGGCACTTTGTTATGGTCATTTTATGGTGAGTACTGGCACTTTTTTATGGTCATTTTATGGTGAGTACTGGCACTTTTAAATGTTGTAGACTGTCAAGTGTCGGAGAAGGTGTTGTCAGCTGGCATATGTTTGACTGGCGGATCATGTGCTGTCTGTTCCAGGAGAAAGTCACCTGCATCACCTCCATCAACGCCACCAAAGACATGCTAGCAGACATGGTGCCCTACAGTCGTCTGCCTGAAGATCAGCTCCGCAAGGTCACCCAGTTGAAGGACCTGCTGGACAAACTGCTGACGCTGGACCCTTCCAAGCGGATCCCCATCAACCAAGCCCTGACTCATCCGTTTATTACCGAGAAAATTTGAATGAACTAAGATAGTGTATGTTTGTTGCGAGTAGAGTAACATCTAGTGTATGTATAAATGGAGAACTGAATATCTTTGAGCTTTGGGTTGGAGAAATACGAGATTATGCCTTTTCCCACATGTTGATAGGGCATTGGTCCAGCAATTGTTGCTTTGACAAGTTCAGCAGATGGGCAGCTCAAGATAGTATGAGGGTGTTGCATAGCACATGAGTTAAACTTAGTTATCGTTTACAGATCAGGAAAAGATATCAGACCAAACCACCAAACAAGTAGAACTAGCCAGGTTCACATTTACACAGTCATAAACAACACATGAACACGGAGGCTAGAATACCTTCATCAGCACAAGCTACGAACAGACAAACAGTGGAACGTTTACAAACAAGAATACAGAAAACTGCTTAACTGAGGACTCTAAGAAAAATCCACATGTAGGTCTGGCCTGTTGAATCTCTGATGCATGTGTGAGTACAGAAGATGAATACTAGCCAGAAAAAAAGATATGGCAGCAAGGGTCGAAACTCAGAAATATTAGATAAGGCTGTTTTGGATGTTAAGTCTCCTAGGCCAGTTAAAGCACGTTAGCTGTATCCTTTAGGGGATGTTAGAAACCATTGTCAGCTTTTGCTGATTGTTCATGGTTTTACTGAGTAAATTTTATGTTGAGTATTTGATCACTGTCCCTGAATGGGTGATGCTCATACCAGTGTTGTTGGAAATAATGCAAAGTAGTCTGCTGCCAAATGGCCTGAACCTGAATCAAACCTGATATGAAATTGTGAAACATCTCTCATAACCCCCAGGCCACAAATAATTGAAAAAGGAGAGTATGAAAGAGAAGTAGTGGTTGATGGTCGTAGCTCTTTGCACCTGGCACTGTGAAAGCATGCTATCATGAGGTCTGTACTGAAGTGGGACTTTGAGGCTGACTCGTCCGTCCTTCTTTGGTAGAATTCGGCATGAGCTGCTGATTTGTATTCTGTGTGATGATAGTGTGGAGTTTTGCTATTTGAAGTTCTTTACTTAAGTTGTGCAGTTTATTACACCAAGAATGCAAAAGTCTAGTTTAGGGTGCTCGTTGGAATAAGAGGTGCAAATGTCCAGTTTGTTTGCTAAGAGGGGCCACATATCTAGTTTATGGACACCTGAGATGCATTGTCTAGTCTACTGACACCAGTGTCTGGTCTGCTGACACCAGTGTCTAGTCTGTTGACACCAGTGTCTAGTCTGTTGACACCAGTGTCTAGTCTGTTGACACCAGTGTCTAGTCTGTTGACACGAGTGTCTAGTCTGTTGACACCAGTGTCTAGTCTGTTGACACCAGTGTCTAGTCTGTTGACACCAGTGTCTAGTCTGTTGACACCAGTGTCTAGTCTGTTGACACGAGTGTCTAGTCTGTTGACACCAGTGTCTAGTCTGATGACACCAGTGTCCAGTCTGATGACACCAGTGTCTAGTCTGTTGACACCAGTGTCTAGTCTGTTGACACTGTGTCTAGTCTGTTGACACCAGTGTCTAGTCTGTTGACACTGTGTCTAGTCTGTTGACACTGTCTAGTCTGTTGACACTGTGTCTAGTCTGTTGACACCGTGTCTAGTCTGTTGACACTGTGTCTAGTCTGTTGACACTGTGTCTAGTCTGTTGACACCGTATCTAGTCTGTTGACACCGTGTCTAGTCTGTTGACACCAGTGTCTAGTCTGTTGACACCGTGTCTAGTCTCTTGACACCAGTGTCTAGTCTGATGACACCAGTGTCTAGTCTGTTGACACTGTGTCTAGTCTGTTGACACCGTGTCTAGTCTGTTGACACCAGTGTCTAGTCTGTTGACACTGTGTCTAGTCTGTTGACACCAGTGTCTAGTCTGTTGACACCAGTGTCTAGTCTGTTGACACTGTGTCTAGTCTGTTGACACTGTGTCTAGTCTGTTGACACCAGTGTCTAGTCTGTTGACACTGTGTCTAGTCTGTTGACACTGTGTCTAGTCTGTTGACACTGTGTCTAGTCTGTTGACACTAGTGTCTGGTCTGATGACACCAGTGTCTAGTCTGTTGACACCAGTGTCTAGTCTGTTGACACTGTGTCTAGTCTGTTGACACCAGTGTCTAGTCTGTTGACACCAGTGTCTAGTCTGTTGACACCGTGTCTAGTCTGTTGACACCAGTGTCTAGTCTGTTGACACCAGTGTCTAGTCTGTTGACACTGTGTCTAGTCTGTTGATACCAGTGTCTAGTCTGTTGACACCAGTGTCTAGTCTGTTGACACCAGTGTCTAGTCTGTTGACACCAGTGTCTAGTCTGTTGACACCAGTGTCTAGTCTGTTGACACCAGTGTCTAGTCTGTTGACACCAGTGTCTAGTCTGTTGACACCAGTGTCTAGTCTGTTGACACTAGTGTCTAGTCTGTTGACACCAGTGTCTAGTCTGTTGACACCAGTGTCTAGTCTGTTGACACCGTGTCTAGTCTGTTGACACCAGTGTCTAGTCTGTTGACACCAGTGTCTAGTCTGTTGACACCAGTGTCTAGTCTGTTGACACCAGTGTCTAGTCTGTTGACACCAGTGTCTAGTCTGTTGACACCAGTGTCTAGTCTGTTGACACCAGTGTCTAGTCTCATGACACCGTGTCTAGTCTGTTGACACCGTGTCTAGTCTGTTGACACCAGTGTCTAGTCTGTTGACACCAGTGTCTAGTCTGCTGACACCAGTGTCTAGTGTGTTGACACCAGTGTCTAGTCTGTTGACACCAGTGTCTAGTCTGTTGACACCAGTGTCTAGTCTGCTGACACCAGTGTCTAGTCTGTTGACACCAGTGTCTAGTCTGTTGACACCAGTGTCTAGTCTGTTGACACCGTGTCTAGTCTGTTGACACTGTGTCTAGTCTGCTGACACCAGTGTCTAGTCTGTTGACACCAGTGTCTAGTCTGTTGACACCAGTGTCTAGTCTGATGACACCAGTGTCTAGTCTGATGACACCAGTGTCTAGTCTGTTGACACCAGTGTCTAGTCTGTTGACACCAGTGTCTAGTCTGATGACACCAGTGTCTAGTCTGTTGACACCAGTGTCTAGTCTGTTGACACCAGTGTCTAGTCTGATGACACCAGTGTCTAGTCTGATGACACCAGTGTCTAGTCTGATGACACCAGTGTCTAGTCTGATGACACCAGTGTCTAGTCTGATGACACCAGTGTCTAGTCTGATGACACCAGTGTCTAGTCTGATGACACCAGTGTCTAGTCTGATGACACCAGTGTCTAGTCTGATGACACCAGTGTCTAGTCTGTTGACACCAGTGTCTAGTCTGTTGACACCAGTGTCTAGTCTGTTGACACCAGTGTCTAGTCTGTTGACACCAGTGTCTAGTCTGTTGACACCGTGTCTAGTCTGTTGACACCAGTGGTGCAGACATCTAGTTTTTGTGTTTGCTGACATCAGGGGCACAGATGTCTAGTAGTTTAGTGTGATCAATGGTACACATGTCCAATTTGTAGATTGTGGCATCAGGGATGAAAATGTCAAGTTTTTTTTTACATTATGTCAAGGGTACAAATGTTTTGTTAACATTGCTAGATCACATCAAAGACAGGATAAGTTGTGACTTCAGTATCATGTTGTCTAGATGTGTTGTGTGAAGATGGTGGGAAAGTTCAGTATCATGTTGTCTAGATGTGTTGTGTGAAGATGGTGGGAAAGTTCAGTATCATGTTGTCTAGATGTGTTGTGTGAAGATGGTGGGAAAGTTCAGAATCATGTTGTCTAGATATGTTGTGTCAAGATTGTTTGGAAAGTCTGTATCACAACTAGTCTCTGAGAGCTATGTTGTCTGTGGAACATCAACTTGTATTTGTTTGATTCTAGAATAGGTTTTCCCCTGTTTAATGTGGTCCTGAGTGTGTCTATAGACTCAGAGAGTTGTATTTTGTGTATAACATGGCCTGGATTTTCTTTTTTAAACTGAGTATGCTTGATTTCCAATGAAAGTGTGCCCGAGTTTGTAGACTGAGAGGCCTGTGTCTCTTGACTACAAGGACTTTTGTTTTGTGTGTAGTTCAAGAGAGCTCTTTGTTTTCTGTGTAACACGGACTTAATCAGTTTGTTTTTCTTTCTCACATATGTGGAACCAGTAACTATGGCTGCAACCTTTAACCTCGACTCCGGGCAAGGCAAGCTGCACTGACTTTCCCATGTCAAGGTCATCAGCCTGGCACAAGACAAAGGTTGCCATTGAGTACTTCACTTGCATCTTTTTTTTTCTGGTTGTTTTCTGCAAATGAATTTTCATGCCCACATTTCATGGAGTCGGTAGTCTTGTTTTTATTGATAACAAATGTTTTCAGGTTTTAATAAATATTCTCTCATCATCATCATGCAACTTTCTTGTCGTGACACATTTGTGTGGGTGTATCGTTGTCTGTCTGTCTGTCTGACTAGGACAGACCAGGTCACGTTTTGTTGTTTGAGTACTGGATTTTGCAGACTCAACTAATATTCATGTAAATGATGTGTGAGACAAACAGCCCTCTGCCATTGTCTTCATGCAGGACTGACCCCAGAATCTGTTTGTTTTTGTAAGACGACTGTAGAAACTGCGAAGCAACGTGTCAGGCTGACATAAAAGTTTATGGCCCATGGTGGAAATTGTTGAACAAGAAGAAGATCTGTATACGGAATCTGAGTCAGACTGTGCCGCTAGCACCGCCTGGGAACATCAACTTTGGCACAAATAACTGTACAGATATGGGAAATCTTGTTTGGTTTACCAGTGTCAACCTGCGATAGACATGATCGCTGACCTGCGATTGACGTTATCGCTGACCTGCAATAGACATGATCGCTGATCTGTATAGTCTCTGCCACATATCAGTCATCATATCTTTTCACAGCCTTCTGTCTTATGTATTGTCAATCATGTCTAATACAGCTGTCTCTGCATGCCATTAGGCTAAACTATCTAACATCTGAATTTCCTCTTGTCTCTCTTCCCGTACCATTTTTTTTTTGTTCCCACATTCTAATTTGTTTCCTATTTCTTGAAATAATCAGAGAATGTGGATTGTCTTTTCTGTTCATTCATCTGTTTCTTGCCTTACACTTTCATTACATTTAGTCTACCCATGATATTCTCAGCATTCCCTAAACGATTTGTCAGCCTTGACTCAAGAGATTATCTGTTGCAAGCCAAGAAAGATTGTTGCAAGCCAAGAAAGATTGTTGCAAGCCAAGAAAGATTGTTGCAAGCCAAGAAAGATTGTTGCAAGCAAGAAATATTGTTGCAAGCCAAGAAAGATTGTTGCAAGCCTAGAAAGATTGTTGCAAGCCAAGACGACATCAGGAGGAGATTTCTTCTTCTTGGGATCACTTCCAGACTGAAAATTGATGTGACTTTTTTTTTTTTCAAAGTTCCATGCAACTTAGAAGATGATGTTGACTCAGTCGGCCGGTGTTCCCTGGGTTGAACGTGGGACAGTCTTGAAGGACATGGGTCAAAGGTGGCCCAGACAAGTGACCAGCAGAAAAATCTGTTTTACAGACGCCAAGAATGAAAAATAGTTGTTTTCCTGCTGGTTGTAGTAGTAGTAATGTAAGTCTCAAAAAGCTGCCGTAATATTCCACTTGTGTTTGGGTAAATTTTCTCTTTTAGGAAACTTGACTTTTATACAAATTAAAATTAAAAAAAAAAAATTATGGACTTGAAACATTATTGCTTATATAACTTTTTCTCTTGGAGTAAATAACATCATCAGAGCCAAAAATGTCCTTAAATGAAAATCATGCAAATTATTTGTTTTACTTGAGAAATAGCCCTTCAGATATTCTTTGTATAGTCTCATCGTTTTTCGGCAACTGTCAGTCTTTTCAGGCAGTAGTGTCCTAATTTATGCCATGTGGGGCTAGTCTTCTCTACTGTCGAAGATGTCAGGTACAGATGTTCTTCCATGTCATGATGCCAAACTGTCTAGTATCTTGTCTCTTGCTCTTCCTTTCAGTCATTCCTCCTTTGGGTACATTCTTCTTTAATACATCTTCCATATGTCACTAACAGGTGATCCAGTTACTTGAATGTGCACTAATTTGCTTCACATGAGTCCTGTTTGCTTTTCTGTTGCATTTTGATGAATATTTTCCCACATTTCCTTCTTCTGTATTCACCTGTAAAAGAGTGCTTGAGTGTAGTTTACAGCTACGCTTATATCTGCACATTTCAACCCTTAAATCCGATTTCAGCAAACCCCAAATTATTCATAGTTTACCAATATACCTGAGGGTGGGGGAGGGGGTCACCTGGTCAGTCGCACACACCCTCCCCCCTCTTCCCAGTGGGGCCCCATCAAGAGGCAGGGGAGAGAATTTCAAAGAACCACTTCCAAGAATGTGTTCACATTTTGTGTCTAAACATCAGCAAAAGTGAAAAGTCCTAGATGGGGACTAGTTAGGGGGATCTTTAGAACAAATTATTATTTTCTTGCGAATTTTATTCTAAAGAAAAAAAAAGACAAGTTGGGAACTGTTTAAAGCTACCTTGTGTGTCTGTTTTAGCCACAATTGTTGCTTAAGTGCTAATACAGCCATCATTGTTGCTAAAGTGCTAAATTCTTTACTTTTGTTTATTTCTAGGTGGATGATTGCTTGTCGAGAAACTGGGACACTTCACTAAGGTTATGATTGCAGACTTCACAGTTTGATTTGATCATGTGACCCTAACTTCTTGCGACTGTCATACACGACCCATGTTGACTGACTGGTTGATTGATGTGCATATTTTTTTGGGTATTAGTTTACATGCATTTCATGGTGTTTTCATACTGAGGTGGTGTTTTCATACTGAGGTGGTGTTTTCATACTGAGGTGGTGTTTTCATACTGAGGTGGTGTTTTCATACTGAGGTGGTGTTTTCATACTGAGGTGGTGTTTTCATACTGAGGTGAAACTAGTGATTTCATACTTTGGTTAGTGTTTTCATACTGACCACTTGTTTTCATACTGAGGTGGTGTTTTCATACTGAGGTGGTGTTTTCATACTGAGGTGGTGTTTTCATACTGAGGTGGTGTTTTCATACTGAGGTGGTGTTTTCATACTGAGGTGGTGTTTTTACTCTGGTTGACCCAAATGTTTAAACTTTATTGAATTTCCTTGCTGTTCAGTTTTGCTAGATCTGTGTCCTTGACATCAAAACATTTTTTTTTTCAGTTGAAGAAAAAATGTGAAACTAGTGATCTTCATTTGATTTGGTTAAATATTAAAGATAACCACTTTCAACTGCCTCCTAGAAAAAGTGGCTTCTCGGTCCGCTTTGGTTATATTTGTGAAATTTTTTGGCTGTTATTTCATTGCATGCTGATTGCTGTAATCTGCTCTCTTCTGGTCTATTTGCAATCCATGTCCTTGTGGTCTCATCCGGCCGGTTATCCGCTGTCTTTAGGTGTCAGTAACTGATATCGCTGTCATTTCATTAGATATTGGTTGTTGTACTATCCGCCTTTATCTCAGGCTGACTATGTAGGTGCTGGCTGTCATCAGACGTTGTTGACTGGTTGAGTCTTGATATGTGAGTGGGCTGCGTGGACTGCATTTAACTGATAGCCGCTGTTCTCCAGCTTTGTTTGACTGACAGCTGCTGTTTTCCAGCATTTTTTGCCAACAGCTGCTGTTTTCCAGCATTGTTTTACTAGCAGCTGCTGTTCTCCGACCTGTTTGATTTACAGCTGTTCTTCTTTAACTCTAATAGTCTGAGAGTTGCTCTTCTAAACCCAAAGCTCAGATCCACTAATAAACATTGTTCTTCAACTGTGTGTGACGGACAACTGTTGTTTGTCAACTGTATGTGACAGACAGCTGTTGTTCATCAGCTGTATGTGACAGACAGCTGTTGTTCGTCAACTGTATGTGACAGACAGCTGTTGTTCGTCAACTGTATGTGACAGACAGCTGTTGTTCATCAACTGTATGTGACAGACAGCTGTTGTTGTGTCAACTGTATGTGACAGACAGCTGTTGTTTGTCAACTGTATGTGACAGACAGCTGTTGTTCGTCAACTGTATGTGACAAACAGCTGTTGTTCATCAACTATATGTGATAAACAGCTGTTGTTCTGCAATTGTTTGTGACGGACGGCTGTTGACATTTATCTGTGACCAGAAATGTGTGAACAACCCAACAGGGAGATGGCATATTCACCAGCGATATTATTTACACCGGAAATATGGTTGGGTACATCATTAGCACCAGTAATGTAATAAGTACACATGATCTGTCACCAACTACATACACTACTACCTAATCGGAAACATCCTGGATACATCGCTAACATAACCAGATATGTCCTGGATACATCGCTATATAATTGGATATATCCTGGATACACTACTAACATGGTCCTATACACCATCAC